TCTATACTTCTTGCTGATTGGCTGTTGGGATTTAACTTGATTAACACCTGCACAGAGCATTTCCACCTGCACAGAGCATTTCTTGCTGATTGGCTGTTGGGATTTAACTTGATTAACACCTGCACAGAGCATTTCCATACTGACAGTATGTCTTTATTCAAGTGTTTTGGTAGGTATTTCAAGCTTTTCTGCTCCAGCATTGGAATGCGGGGCATGAACATTTTTTTTATTTTGAAAATCAACAGTTTGCATTATGCAATTAAAAATCCTAACCAATAAAGTAGGGAATAGCTATCCAACTGTTGTTTTAGTTGTATGTTACTTCATATTGTAGTTATATCAATGTAAATCATTGTTTTCCCTTGTGTTTCTCATTCTTTCCCTGCCATGTCGTAAAATGTGGTGAACCCATCGCTGTATTTGCTCCAAAGCAAATATTGGCCTTTCTAGTTAATTCTTAGATTTTGAATTTAAAATTGTATTGACAGATGTTGAAAGGTAGACAACAGTAGATTTGAGACATCGTGGTCCCTTGAAATGAACTTATCCAAAGCATGCCACTGGCCGCTCAGTCCCAGTCCAGTTAGCGCTGTCAGTTTAATTTTTCGGTAAATTTCTCCATGCAAGACGATCCAGCCAAAAAAATTGACAAGTTTGGACAACAATAAAGGATGTATGCTGTTGAGTGGCGTACATAATGGCACCCAGGTTTCTGGATTAGATCTTTATTTACGCCCGTCAAGCATGAGGGGAGGGCAGCATGTCAATACTTCAAGTTCTCACTTCGGCCCTTGTTTATCTCAAAATTTGGGTATTTCTGCTAGTTTTTAGGTGTAATTGATAGGAAATCTCAAAGACTAGGTACTGATGTAAGTGATAATGTTTGTTTCCGAGTACTGAGCTTGAACGTACAGGCAAAACTTAGCGCACCGCTCCCGAGCCGCTCCTGATGGCCTGATCTTAATCTCACGTCACGTCATGTCACGCCCGTCTATCGCCGCCAATTTGTGGGGTTTGATTAATTAACTCACAGCAGGTTGTGAATCACTTCTTTGTTACTTGAAACTGCGTTCTATGAGATGTTCATTGTGCCGAGAGCAAAGACATTATTTTTATCAAGTTTAAAGCAAGGATTATTGCGACGGTAGCCGAGATCAAAAGGGTAAAAATCAACTGAAAATCCCGCTACGCTGGTCGGAAACACAGCATAGCGGCAAAATTACAGCGTAGCGGAACAAATTCACAGCATAGCGGCCCGCTATGCTCAAAAGGCCTGGCGAGAACACTGTAAAGTCATTCAACAATTTTTTCAACATCAACATTCAGCACTTGGTAAGAACATACTGCGCCTGCACTAAACCTGGATTTTTCACAGGTTCGATTGGATGCTTCAGCCTTGTTCAACGTTGCATCAAAACTTTGCATGTTGGGTATCTCTTTTAACCCAACATTATACATGTACAAGCCAAGCCAAGAGACAAGATACATGTACAACTATAGATGGAATGTCACCCTTAAATATGTAAATATGACCTTAAATGAGAAGTTCTGCAAAAGTGCTACACACAAATGCAGCACTGGTTTCGTGCAGGCACAGTGTGTTCTGCCTACATGCTTTTACATACTGCCCTTACGGCCTTAGATAGTTAGTATTGAATTTGTGATATCCTCTTGTAGAACCAGCTACATTGTAACACCGTGCAATGTTTTGTTGTTATCAGAGTTGTCCCACGCGCTGTACCAACATGACGCGGCGTGTCGTGTGATCGCACGTCTGACTAAGGAGGTGACGGCGGCGCGTGAGGCCCTGGCCACCCTGAAGCCCCAGGCCGGCATCGCGGTGCCCGCCCCGTCAGTCCCTGCCGTGGCCCAGCCTGCAGCTGCTGCAGAGCCCATGGAGATGGCTGCAGAGCCAGGCGAGGAGGGCATGACTGAGGAGATCATACAGAAGGTAGGCATTATTAACACTGGGGTATGGAACATTCACTCACTCACTCACATACAGAAGGTAGGCCAATTTAATTTCTTGGTTAACGAATTTTTCTAGAAAAATAATGAAGCGGGCGGGCGGAAAAAAAACAGGCCTAGGCATCCTATTATGGCCCAAAATGGTACGATAGGAGCCATTAAGTCAACACACCAGACTGGTTCAAAATTTAAACAATGAATTTTGAACTTTTAATGATACCACTGCATTGAAAGATGGAATAACTGTAACAACTAGGAAGAAAAGGACTGTTTTCAACTGTTAAGGGCAAAATATGAGCAGTTTGCAGTTGATTCTGAATTTGGCGAATCTGTTAACCAAGAAATTAAATTGATGTGGCCTTATGGAACATTAGGACAATACAAAAAGTCAATTTTCTGCTCATTTCTTTGTACTAAAAAAAGTTGATTCAATCGTGCTCCATTGCACATACATGTAAATGCCACTCAGGAAGTGGAGGTGCCTAAATATTACACCATGAGTTAGTTTAAAAGCTAGAAACACAGCTGTCAGCTGTTTACAATCTTATTATCTGGTAGTTTGTGGTAGTGCCATAAATGGCGTGCGCCTTATGTGGGTTGTTTTAGCACCAACCTTAAAAAATGTCAGAAATGTAAAATAACTTCACAAATATGTTGAAAAATAAATTACTATCATGATTTCTCCAATTTAACAATTTAGGTTTTTGTTACAAACTGTTACTTTTAAGAATGCATTTGGGGAAATTTGGGGGACCAAAAAAGTGGTTGTCATGGCCCTTGACTTGAAAAATCTTGTGATTCTGGGCAAAATATTGCACGTCTCATGATGCTCAGAGGTTTCACAGTTGTGTTCACAGTTTTCCTAGTCACCAGCATTAGTGTGGTCCATATGATTGCCATAAGTTAGTATAACTGCCCTGGTTTGTACATGTACATCAGTCCTGTGCTTTTTTTCTCCTCAGCTCCAAGACAAGGCAGCAGTCCTGACTGCAGAGCGTAAGAAACGTGGTAAGAAGGTACCAGAAGAGCTGATGCCAGCAGAGAGCTTGTCCAACTTTAAACAGCAGGCATCTCACCCGGTAAGCTGCCTCTTTTTTAAACCCATACGTAGGTGTAAGTTGGTCCTTATGTAACTATGTTGCAAGTAGTGTTCACAGTGTACCAGTTCACTGGACTTGGATCTGGACTTGTAAAAGTGTTTAGGTTCAAGTAAAAAAAAAATTTAAAGTCAAGAACCGAGTCCGAGCTTGATACCAAAAAAAAAAACACATACCCCTTTTCTTTCCAACCACCTAAAACCTTCCGTAGATTGCAAAATCTTTGCTGCAAAATGAAGAAAACATTGCCATCTGGCATTGTCAAGTATGTTACATTGTATGTGGCCAAAGTTTTGCAAGGTTGCCAACATGCAATTTTATTTATGCCATGGGCTTACAAATGTAGGTCTGGACTTACAAGAACTGAACCTAAGTCTCTGGACTTGAATCCGGACCTGTTGCACAGCACTAGTTGCAAGTAATATCAGTAATATCAGTGCTCTAGAATGTTCAAATTTATTTTGTGTAAGCCCAGGTCCATGATTGAACCTGGGGGAGGGGTGTGCTCACAATCTAGGGGGTTCTGGGGCAAACCAAATGGACTTTCAAGCCTCTAAAAACACAATTTTGTACATTTTGAGAGGCAAATCATGGGGTTGGGAGTGGTTGTTGATGGTCCTATGGATGTTTTTATATTGTTACCAAAGATTTTTGTCAAGTTTTGTCTATCAAGGTTGGTGGATTGGTTTAAATTTTTTTTTCTGTCACATGACTCAAAGTTCCTGCAATCAATGGAAAAACAGGTGCTGGCTAGAGGTCTGAGTAATATTGTCTGCTATATATTGTTGCCTTTGTGTTAGTGCAATGTGTTAGTATTGTATTCTCCATTATGCCCATGATAAAACATGCATGTATGTCTGTGTGTCTGTAGGGTCTGCACAGTGCCAGTATCCCCGGGATTCTGTCCATGGATATTCACACTGCAGACACATCCAAGATTCTCACAGGTAAGCACAGCCCTTTCAAACACATACAGATGGCGTCTGTGTGGGTGTAGTGGATAGAGCGTCCGACTGTCAAGCAAGAAGACCCAGGTTCAATCCCCAGGGTTGGACCCAGACATGCCCGGACATGCACCCAGACGTTGTGCCCTTGGGAAAGGCACTTAACACACATTTCCCCCCCTCAGTTAGAGGGTACCACCGCCTGGAGGGTTCCTGGGCCCTACTAGGGTTTGGGTTGGCGTTAGGAAGAGCATCCAGCCGTAAAAATCCTGCTTCAAAAAAAGACTTGTACTTGTACTGGTGCAAGCACGTCTAACCCCCGGTTGGGGAAAAACGACGTTAAATTTGATTAAAAAACTATTGTCTAATTTTCTCACATTTCTGACATGCTAAAACATGTTGGTGCTAAAACAGCCCAAACGAGGTGTACCCAGTTTGTGGTACCACCACAATCACCTAAAAATAATGAAATGTGCCATAGTTTGTCTGTTACTGTTTGTGGTACCACCACAAACTACCAGAATGTAAACAAACATGGCTGACTGCTGTATTGCCCACACTCGTATGGTATGATATTTAGGCACCTCCACTTCCAAAATGACACATATGCAATGTAGTAGCGCTGACTAAACTTACTTTGTAAAAACAAAATGACCAGAAAATTGAACTTTTGTATTGTCCCAATGTTATGTAATGCTGCTTTAAGTCATCTGCAATACCATTGTTGACCCCTAGGTGGCGCTGACAAAAATGCAGTTGTGTTTGACAAGGAGAGTGAACAGGTGGTCTGCATCCTCAAGGGTCACCGACAGAAGGTCAACAATGTGCTGTACCATCCTTCAGAGGTAGGGGGCGCTGATTTACAAACATGGCTATCAATGATACTAAAAGTATTCTAACAGGTACAGGGTTCTCATCAGAATTTTTCAGAGCATTGTGGTCCGGTGCAGAAGTACAACTTTCCATGACACAAGGCACACAATGATTCCCAAAGACATGACCACAGTAGGGGGTCTGGTATTCTCCCCGAAAATTTAAAAAACTCATAATCCTCTGAGACAATATTTCCTGCTGCTTGAAGGACAAATTCCTTTGTTATAGCTTCATTCTAAAGTCACATTTTAATTTTCTAAAAGATTTATGAAGGGTCATAATGTGCTCCCAAAAAAGAAACCCTCTATGCTGCTTGAACGACCGTGTAGGGGGCTAAGGCCCGATTTACACGTGCGTCGTTTATATGTGTCGGGCATAAAACGACGCAAGCATGCGCGCACGGCACTGCAGTGCGCGTTTTGTGTGACAGATTTTTTTATCGTGTAAACAACCTCCGCCACAGTCGCGCGTCATTCTTCTGTGGCACGTCCAGGAGGTACCACAAGAAACTCGCTGCGCCGCGCCGCGCGTCTGTGGCGGAGGTTGTTTACACGATAAAAAATCTGTCGCACAAAACACGCAGCGCGGTGCCGTGCACGCATGCTCGCGTCGTTTTACGCCCAACACATATAAACAACGCACGTGTTTATCGGGCCTAAATCACAGCATAGGGGATCCCTACACTTAAACAGCCTGGTGAGAACCCTATATTACATATAATGAAATGTGCCATAGTTTGTCAGTTTTACTGGAGAGTCTGGGAGTTGACCAATGGTCTTTCTGTAGAACCTGGTGTTCACAGCATCACCCGACTCTACCATCCGAGTGTGGGGGGTGCCTAGTGGGCAGTGCAGTAACATCATCCAGGCACATGAGGGCGCTGTGACCGGCATCTCACTCCATGCCACCGGAGACTTCCTGCTGTCTGCCTCAGAGGACCAGGTAAGTCTTCACTTCTGTCTCTCAGTTGTACAAAGAGAATTCAGGAAAAAAATGAACTTGATGCTAACAAAGTGTTGCTGATTACCATGAAAGTTCATCTGAGTTGGTAAATTACATAGTGAAAATCAAACTGTTCTCCAAAATTAAAAAAGAGTTTCACTTACCAGAATTCTGGACTGAATCTTTACATTTTCATCAGCTATCTGCCCCAAGTACTGTAGACAACTGATTTTTCTGACAGACTTTGACCCAGTGCTGACATCACACATGCAGAAAAATCAGTTGTCTACAGTACTTGGGTCAGATAGCTGATGAAGACTGAGAGATACAGACCAAAATTCTAGCGATTCAAACTTTAAAGTTGGAGAACAGTTTAATTTCCAGAAAGTCTTGTGATATTGGTTGAATCAGCTGTTACATGTAGATATACGTCAGTAGAGTTACGGAAAACAGACTGGATATTTGCAGTTGTTAATTTGGAGGTTGTGTTTCATTCAGTTCTGGGCGTTCTCTGATGTGAGGACAGGGCGTGTGCTGACTAAGGTCACAGACGAGTCCAGTAAGACATGTAAGTATCTTGTTGTAGACAACTTTCAAACTCTACTACTGGGTAGATTACGGAGATTTCTTCCAGGCGTTTCGAGTGACATCCACCACTCTTTTTCAGCATCACTGATAAAATGTACTAAGAGTAAGAGACTACTAGTCAACACTTATATATGAGCAACTTGAGAAGAGGTTGAACATGACAAAAAACACCATAGAAAGTACTACTGTCCCTTAGCTTATAGCAAGTATCTTGTTGGTACGTCTGATAACTACTGGACTTGGTTATGCTGCATAATGTCTCTTTTTTTTCATTTGCTGCCCTTGGGCGGGAAACAAAATTTTGCCCATTTTCCTCCATTGTCCAAAGTATGTCCTGCAACCAGGCTACTGCTCTCGTGCAACCTCGACAGCTTTTCACATGATAATTGTGTTTGTATGTGCTCTAAAAACATGACTGAAGTTGTGGATGTTGCTGTTAACTTTGCAGCAGTGCTTTATCCTGTTTTAGAGGTTGGTAAGAGTAAGTTTTGACCTGTCCCCTCCCCAGCGCTGACTTGTGCCCAGTTCCACCCTGACGGCCTGATCTTCGGCACGGGGACAGACGACAGTCAGGTCAAGATCTGGGACCTGAAGGAGAGAACCAACGTCGCCAATTTCCCAGGTAAAGACTTTTTTGGAACCATTCTTTGTTATGATTACTGAAGGAAAACATATTGTTTTTGCTCAGTTTCCTCGTCTCCAAACAGGTCAATAACCTGAACCAGATGTCTGTCGCCATGGTAATGGGTGGTGTTGGGTGACATTTTGTAGCAGAACAGAGTTAAAGAGGCTGGTCACCATATATTATATACATGATTATGAATAGGAAACTATGTATTAGAATAAACAGAGCAGTAGTTTGATGGACTAACGTTAGACCATGTGAAGGTAAACATTGTGCATTATTTTGCTTTTTGAGGTCATAAGGGCAAAATATATATCAATATTGACATGTACTGATCCAAATAAATCCTTACAAATAAATTTACACATACATGGTACATAATACATACATAAGAGAGATGGTATATGCTCTGTATTTGTTCATTTTTGGTTATTTCTGATTTCTGTTACTCAAAGAGTCTCTTATAAGAAGCCAGAGTTGAGGCCACGAGTGTGACAGTGGTAGACTGTGGTCCACGGTAACCTATGATCTGTTGAAGCTCTGGATAGGACGTTCACATATGAAATGTAATTTGAGTTGAGAAAGCCATACATTAAAATAGATTATGCTGATTACAACCTTATTTCCATAATCAATGACACAAACAAACATTTACAAAAGCTCTAAATATTTCATGAAGCAGGGCTCAAAATACTGGGTACATGTGCACCATGGTGTACCCAAAATTGGAGCTGTGCACCCCATTTTTTTCCGTGGTTGCACCCATATATGTTTGTAGATTTACGTATATATACTATGTAGAGACCGTATAGCAACTAAATTTTTTTTTGGTGCACCCAAACACTTTTCGTGCACTCAACTTGTTGGTTGTGTGTATCAGTGCACCAGTATTTCCAAAAAAGAATTTGGAGCTCTGTGGAGGTATGAGATCTCTGAACTCTTGTTGTTTGGTTATTTTCAGGACACTCTGGTCCCATCACGGCCATTGCGTTCTCAGAGAACGGCTACTACCTGGCCACAGCTGCTGATGACTCCATGGTGAAGCTCTGGGATCTCAGGAAACTCAAGAACTTCAAAACTATTGCCCTGGACGAGCGCTACGAGGACAGATATGAGGTTTGTTTGTTTGTTTGTTTGTTTATTACGATAATCACCTTTTGTCTAAATTCCACACTACTCTTCCTGGAGTCCGTAGTATCAAATCATCAACTTGCAGATAGTCATATTCAGACAATTGCACACCAGGCTAGGCCTCTGCTCTTTGGAAAGGTGTGGTGGGTTCTTTAATGTGCGTGGGGTGTGGTTCTCCCCAAACACGGGACGAGAGTGGTCCCTAACCAAAGCTAGGTACTCATGTTCAGCAGGGTGATGTGAGGGAAGTAGTGCAAAAAGGTCTGTAGCCCAATAAAAATAGCTCATGGAATTGTCCTCTGATTTTAAAGTTAGAAATCTAAAGTTAGTTTACTGTTGCAACCCTACAGCATAGGACATAGGGTCTGAATTTTTCTTACAGCAACTTTTTGTGTCATATACATGTATGTAATGTATGCTTTTTCAGGTTTAGCCCAGCATGTTTAGCCCAGTTTTCATTTCCACTGTTCCAAACTACATGTAGTTGCTGACAGGCTGTGTTTTCCACCCACAGATCAAGTCTCTGTGTTTTGACCAGAGCGGTACTTACCTGGCTGTGGCAGGCAGCGATATCAGGTCAGTTACTGACGGTACTTTGTGTATCCATGTGGGTATCCTAGGTCATATCTGGGCCATGAAAATATCTAATAGGCATCTTATGGGCCTTGTGATAAGTAGCCGTATCACACGGGTTACATATAGAATACAACACGATTCGACACAATAGATCCGATCCGTGTTGTATTTTATTTATGTCATACCCACCCAAGAAAACGTGCCTTTCAATGCGAAATGAGCGGAAATTTGGTGTCCCTAAACCCAAAAAAATGCGACAACATCAATTCCAACGTCCGAATTTTGTATTCGAATTTCAAAATCGGTGCACGCGGTTAGGCCAAAACGCGTTCGAATCATTCCACGGAACATTTGAAAGGCCCGGGCCGTACGCGGTAAGAACCCCCGGGCTGTACCGCTAGTTATCACACGGGCCGGAAAACCCGTATCGAACGTAATCGCGGCCCAGGTAGGACATAATATTGGTTATCACACAGGTTTTTAAATGTTCCATAGAATAATTCGCGTTTTGTCTGTGCTGAGTGTGCCACTGGAACTGGAGTAGCGAATTTGGATATAGGAATTGGTGTTGTTACAATTGTTTGTTTATGCCATAAACCAAGCCCTCTAAAACATAGCAGGGCTGGAAATACTGGGTGCATGTGCACCTTAGTGCACCCAAAATTTGGAGCTGTGCACCCAATGTTTTTCTGTGAGTGCACCAGTGCACCTAAATATTTTCATAGGTTCATAATGTGAAATGTGTAGTAGTATACAGCATATTCGTAAATTCCAAGTGTCAGAAAAATAATAAAGTCATTGTAGTCTAGAAGTACTTTTCTGTAGAAATCAAATATTTCCTAACATTCTACTTATTTTATCTTATAATAAATATGGTGCACCCCCAAATTTTTTGTGCACCCAATCTTTTAGGCTGGGTGCACCAGTGCACTTGTGCACCTATTCCCAAAAATTAATTTCAAGCCCTGTATAGACAAGTGTGTAATATAATACTGGTTTATTTCTTTCTGACCGTACGATACAGAGTTGCAGGGTCCCTGTAGGACCCTGAATTGATCTGCCGCATGACATAAGTTGTTAAAAACGGTTTACATATTAATATTACAAGCAATTATTAAAAACAGTTAAAAACAGCAAATTATTAAAAGTATTTACAATATATAGGTTACGATCATAGTCAATCGGTTAAAAACAACAAGATATTAAAAGTACATGTGTATTTACAATACAAGTATTAACCCTTGATGTGTGTGTTTGTGCTGCAGGGTGTACCTGTGTAAACAGTGGCAGGAGCTGGTGGTGATGAAGGAACACACGGCCCCCGTCACCTCCATCAAGTTTGGCAACCACGCCTCCTTCCTGGCCTCCACCAGCATGGACCGCTCACTCAAGATCTACGGCCTATAGAACACAACTACTCTAACCACCACTCAAATCCAGGTTGTAGTCATGTTAACATGGGATGTCTGCATCTTCTATCCTGGCTTGTTGATCCTTAAAGCATCCAATGCAATTTCAGAGTGGCAAAACAAAAAAATATTCTGGATAAGGAAATTTATTTGATATTCACATTTACTGAACATTTTTCGTCATCATTTTATACTTGAAGCGTTTGAAATACTGCATGTAGTAGCCCAGGAAAAAGCTACGTAAGGCCACAGCAAGTAATTTTTATGGATGACATCAGCCCGCGCATCAATTTTCGCCTGATTTTGAAAAAAAAAACAAGAAATTTTGTTGCCTTCTGACAGTGGTCAACATGCCAAAAATGGGCAAAGATGTCTGTTGCCATACCAGAGGGTGGATGGCAGATAACTATAAAGAGAGGAGACAAGAAAAGACTCTGATTTAATGTTTTGTTTCTTACTTTGATGCAGTGATATGTAATGCTGGCTGTGTATATGTGATGTTCCCACTGAATCAAAACCATTTGTACAATGATTGAGTCAAAATTTTAAAATGTAGTTTTTTTTCGGCCCGCCTTGTTTTTTTTTCTCCCGCTAGGCCACACCAATTTAATTTCTTGGTTAACGGATTTTTCTAGAAAAATAATGGAGCGGGCGGGCGATAAAAAAATAAAAATAAAAACAGGCCCAGGCATCGTATTGTGGCCCAAAATGGTACGATAGGAGCCATGAAGTCAACACACCAGGCTGGTTCAAAATTTCAACAATGAATTTTGAACTTTTAATGATATCATTGCATTGAAAGATGGAATAACTGTAACAACTAGGATGGAAAGGTCTGTTTTCAACTGTTCAGGGCAAAATATGAGCATTCTGCAGTTGATTCTGGATTTTTATTTTTATTTGCAAATCAGAAAAAAATGAAGCGGCGAATCTGTTAACCAAGAAATTAAATTGGTGTGGCCTTAGCATCAGATTTGGAGTCTGCGGAGGATGTCATCCATAAAATTTAGTCTTGCTGTGGCCTAAGGAATTCCTGTATTTTTGGTACCACCAATAAAAAGCTAGATCCAGCATACAATAAGAAATAAGTAACTGTTTTCCATTAGTGACATCACATTTTTGCCTCACAGATATCAGTATGCTATAGGACAGGGTTGATTCAAGTTATATTCGAAAATTAACCAGAAAATTGACTTTGAAAATTCCAGTTTTACTGCCCTGAAGTCACTTTGGGTATAAATTTGCATTTGTTTGTCATAATTATGTGGCTGTTATAATTATATTTAGGCCAAATTTACCTGGCAACATTCCAGTTCAACTCCCCAGCATGACAGCCAGTATGAGTCAGATGAGTGCAAGCACATTGAAAAAGTGATGTTCTTGTTTTGTATTGAAACTTGACCTCCCAGAGTGTAACTATCTCCAGAGAAAAGGCTATTACTGGTCAAACAGTGGCCCAGCTCCTGTATATTGCAAAACACCCCTTTTCATGGCAGACTTCACCCCCTTCTTGTATCAGTGCCCATTGCATACTTACACTGCCTTGTGGTGAAACAGACACATGCATACCACTAACCTTGTGCAAAGTATGGAGGAAATTCATACAGGACTAAAGACAATGTATAGACTGTGGCTACCAGAACTAACATTTTATACAGCTGTATTAGAAGGATGAGCCCTGAGATTACATGTCATACATGTACTTGTTTAGAGCATTGGCAAAACCTGTAATGTATTGTGCACAGTACTTTGGCAGAACAGTTCATTCAATAATGTCTTCACATATACAAGCTTGATGTCAGTTCTGTAGTTTTCAAATGTGTCGAAAGTAGATATTGTCTGCAACAGGCAAAATTCTGATGCAACATTCATTAGACAAAGTGAAATTCTGTATTTCACACAGGTGCAGTATGCTCTGCCGATGTGCTCCTGTGCATAACGTGGTGATCATTGCCGCTGAGTGATGCATACCGGTTCACTGGACTTGGATCCGATGTTTAGGTTCAAGTCCAAAAAAACCTAAAAGCCAAGAACCGAGTCCGGACTTATTACCATAAAAGACCATTTCACATACATGTTTTCTTTCCAAACCACCTAAAACCTTCCGTAGATTTTAAAATCTTTGCTGCAAAACGAAGAAAACATTGCCATCAGGCATCGTCAAGTACTGGCCTCCATGTTATGTGGCCAAAGTTTTACCCAGACAACATTGCAAGGTTGCCAACATGCAATTTTGTATATGTCATGGGTTTAGGTCCGTACTTACAAGTCTGGAACTGAACCTAAACCTCTGGACTTGAATCCGGAGCTGAACCTAAAATTGAGTTTAGGTATGCATCACTAATTGCCACTTTTGATGATGGAGATATTACTACCGGTAGTGATAGAGTGCTAGAGTAAAATGGGTCTCAGAACTATAATACTATTTTATAGGTCTGGAATGTATGAGATGTTTGGACTGGATATGTTGAGTTGAGATGATATACCACAGACTAAGGGGTTGTACATTTACACTAACTACTAGGACAACCACTGTGTGCTTAAAGAATAGTGATGGCACTCTCTTATTATTTCACAGTAGATTTTGGATGGATGGAAGTGAGCTTCACATGTATTACTTTGTAACAAGTTTTGCGGTTAAGTATAGATGAGGAGGGTTTAGCAGCATTTTTTTCTGTTTGTAGAATATGGAACTGAAAAGAAAAAAAATACAACCTATTTACAGAGCATTATGTGTAATTTAGTACGAATCTATGATCTTTCTACAATTGTACATGTACTCAACATTTGACCGTACTGTAGGTATTCCGGTTTTGATTATGTGCAGTTTTGAAGAAATGGAAAATGGTTACATAAATTTTTAGAACTAAAATTATGCCAAATCCCTTTTTGTAGATTTTCTAAGTGGAAGTACAGTACATTGTTTCTTTTCCTCTTTCCCCCAGGTTTAATAAATACAGTGAGAAAAGGGGCTTAATTTTGTGGTTTTGTCTGAAAATGTATCTATGATACTGCCTTGTTATGTTCACCAAGATACAGATTCCAAGAATGTGTGTTTGTGTGTGTGTTTGTGTGTGCGTCTGTGTGTGTGTGTGTGTGTGTGCATGGATGTGTGGGTGCATGTGTGTGTGTGTGTGTGTGTGTGTGTGTGTGTGTGTGTGCATGGATGTGAACAGCGTAACTCAAGAAGTCCTTGATCATATTACTACTTATCATTCATCAATTAAAAGTTAATTTGCATAATTGACAACCACCACTGTTCTATCGTTTGTTGGACACTGATTAAATATACAAGCCAATCATGAACTATGCAATAAGGCTTAAATTAACCATAATGTGCATGTTCACCTGAGCTACCTACAAACCAAAACAGGTGTACAAACAACTCCAGTTATGCCTACTCTACCTGACAAAAATGGCCATGTGCATCCAGAAATAGGCCCAAACTTCCTTCTGACCCCAATATCTACTTGCCACACCAATTTGGTGACCATACCATCTTCAGATTTTCAAAACAAGCCGCAAGAGGACACATTAAAACGAACTTGAACATATGGCAAAATGACTTTCGTAGTGTTTGTGACCACAGAACTTCCCTCTTAAATCCAGGGTAAAAGCTGTGATTTAAGTCTAAACTTCCCTTTTCTTTCAACCGAATTGGGTAGGGAAGCTTGTATCAGATGGAACTAGAGTTCCACGATCACATACCTTCGCCAAATGATGTTTATCTTAAAGACTAACGAATTATAGAATATACCCACTGATTATGTAATATGCATGAAATATCGAACTCGGGCTGAGGCCTTCGCTCACCCATTGGATAGCCGACTTCCTCAGGAACAGACAGCAGATCGTACGTTACCATGGAGCTCTTTCCGAGAGTATGTCAGTTGGATGTGGCCTACCGCAAGGTACTCTCCTTGGACCCATAATATTTATAGCATACATTAATAGTGCCGCAGCCCTGGCCACTTCACAGCGTTGGAAGTTTGTGGATGACTTGAATTTACTTGAAGTGAGAAACCCGAGCCTAATGCCTTCCAATCTGCAGCAAGACTTATCAGACCTGGAGACCTGGTCGCGCAAAAGTGACATGGTGTTACACCCACGCAAATGTAAGGTCCTCCACATTCAGTTTTCCAAGACAACGTTTACGCCCCAACCACTCATGATCAACAACATCGACCTCCAGCATGTAAATGTAATGAAGATCCTGGGACTATATCTTCAAGCTGACATGAAGTGGAATTCTCAAACTGACTCCATCTGTAATAAGGCAAACCAACGTCTTTACTTACTTCGAAAACTGAAGCACTTCCGCGTTCCAGCTGATGACCTGGTAACAGTCTACACCTGTTACATCCGTCCGGTTCTCGAGTATGGGGCACCTGTTTGGCACTCTGGTTTGTCTGCGAAACTCAGTAACAGAATCGAGAATGTCCAGCGCCGTGCGTTGCGAATCATCTTGAGTGAGGATTTCACCTCTTACCACAAGGCATGCGCACAGTTCAACCTACCAACACTCAAGTCACGCCGTGACAAACTGACAATGAACTTCGCTAGATCACTTGAACGATCTAAGCTGCACAGACACTTATTGCCACCTCCAAGAGTTGAAATCAGTGGTAGGACGACCCGCTCATCCCTTAAACTGGACACTGTCTTCTGTAGAACTGAAAGATACCGAACAAGTGCAATTCCTCACATGATACGGATGCTGAATTTGTAGCTACTCTTTACTTCGTTGCCCTACTTATAACTTAATGCTGCCATCTATTTGTATGTACGTGTACTCAAATGTTATTTAATATTCCCAGAAATTTTATTCAAATGTACTCGTTGCGCCACACCTAATCATTTTATCCCGATATGCTTTTAACGTTAACTTAAATGTTCAATGTTTTAACCAACCACTTGTTATCAATTGTTTTTATTCAATGCGCTACCTACATACCTCAATTTTAAATATTATACGTTAGACTGCTTATTTGCGTAAATCTATTAATCAATTGTAAATGTATCACATAATTCAGCCATTGGCTGCGAGGTGTTACTTGAATTTGAAATAAACCATTATATATATATATCAGTTGATCATAGTCTCCGCCCAAGACAGTCTTATGTTAACAAAGAGGGCCATTCTCTCATTTACTCATAAATATGCAACTATGGTCCTTTTTTAAAAATGGATTACATGACATGTTTAACGATGTTCACCTTCAACTAACTTTCAAAAACCCTAGTATAAAATTCCAGGCAGTTACCACCATGGAATTATAATGTTTTCTCATTCATTATGCAAATTAAGTCTTTGTTTACATAATCTATACTAGTATTTATTATATTACCTATGTTTCTCTCATTCTTAATTACATATGTAACAGCTTGTATAGTCCTATCTTGGAATGCATCTGATTTAGAATTTCCTCATTAATTATGCACATTAAATCTAGATTTGCATATTTGTCATTTGATTATGTCAAGCATCACTCAAGCTACCTACATACCAAAGATCACGGTGATCCGTCAACCGGTTCTTGAGTTATCCTCCTTTAAATATTTTTCAACAAACGCCCCTGCAGTTCTAGAGCAAGCTGCTAGGGAGCCCAAACTCATGTCACTCCTCCCACAACACAAGACCTATACCTACCATCCAAATTTCCCGCCTCTAGCATGTCTAGAACATGAGATATAAAAGCCGGACGTTCCGCTGCAGTACCATAACGAGCCGCCAGGGGGCCCAGATCTAATCATTTTGAGGTATCATCAAGACCTACCCACCTACATTGTACCAAACACGAAGACAATCCATTTAAGCCTTCTCCATTTATCGTGTTTACAGACGCGCGCGCGCAGACGCCTCTGAAAAGTAACCTTCTTGGCGAAGAAAAATATAGGGAGAAATGTTGTCTGTTTGTTTTGAAAATGCTGAGTAAGTCATCGGTAGAAAGCCTCCTTCCCTTTCCGCTCAGATAGATTCCAAATACGATTTACGGAACGGGAAGTTATATTATTGCAAGTAGCGTCGGAATACCATTCTCCCACGGCAAAGCTATCCAGCGGCAAAGGCATTAGCCTTAGGCTATACGCACCACTGCCTCGGGAGAATGCGGAATACCGACCCCACCAGGTACGAACCAACACCCGCCAGAATAACAACAGGCGCTCCCCAACACATCATATTTCAGCGACGTACAACGCGTGAACGTACAACAATATGATTACCGAAGTCATCATATGGCTGACATTAACTGGGCTTGTCCCAGGATTGTCAGGACTGCCAACTGTCTGGGGAATTGGACGTAGTGGCTACAATTCTTCAACGCGGAAGTTCAACCTGTCCATACCAGAGAATATCCCTGTAGGAGAGGTTGTGGCTAACATCGCATCAGCTCTTCTAAACGAAGGCAACTCCAACAGGTCGGTGAGCTTTGCTATCGTTGACGGAGACCCGTACGGAAGGTTCTCGGTCCATGCCGACGGATCACTGGGCACCCTTCGTGTCGCAAACCCGCTCGACTTTGGGGTCCGTACAAGGTATGACCTTGTCGTGTTGCTGAAGTGTACTGACACATACGATAAACTGTGCCAGCTTTCCAACCAAACCTACGCCGTTAAAATTGACATCAATGATGTTGAAGGCTACCCACCGGTATACAATACAACATGTGAGGCGCCAGAAAGAGAAGACAGACCGCAACGACTGTTCAACCTGTCCAACGTCATTTCTAAATTCGACACAGGCTGGATTCACACTTCTGACTTACAATTTCTAACTTCCAAGCTGAGAAAGGAACTTGTTATGCGAGTAGATAACGAAGTCTGTGGCGTCACGGTGGTGGCTGGATTGAAGAGTTTGTCTGATATCGGCTGGGCGAACATCTATTCTTCTACAGGAGCCACACTCAACTGTTCTTCCAGTCAGTCAGGTATGACTGTTCAGCTAAGGCTTGTGAGTCGGACAAATCCTATTGGTGAGTTCCAAGACCTTCGGGAAAATCACCTCATTAACGCCGAATGGCTGAACGACGTGCGTTTTGGGTATTTCTGGGTCTTTCAAATCGACTCTTATCGGACAGTGTCGGCTGCTACGATCAGGTGTGAGTCTACCCCTATCCACTTCAAAATCACAGAACAAACGACAACATATTCTATACAGTTTACTATAGACAAACTCGGCTGTGCAAGAGGGAAGTTTGGTCCATGGTGTGACCAGGACTGTGTGTGTAAGAACCGCGCCCGTTGCCATGGTTTTAACGGCGCCTGCCTGTGTCCTGTAGGGTGGATAGGAGTGGCCTGTGACATCCCTATCCCAGCGGTAGCCTTGGTAACGGTTCCTAGCCAAAACATTTACATCGGCAGTAATGTAACACTGTCGTGCGCTGCAGTTCACTTCAACGTGTCGTCTATGTCGCTAACGTACAGGCCATTCTACACTAAGACCTCAACGGTCTTATCAAACCAAACCACAGGCATAGAGTTTACAATGAACGCTTTCCGGGATGACTACAATGGAGTGTACAGATGTGTAGCAGAAACCGCTGGAGCGAGGGACGTCGTCGTAGAGAAAGAACTGATCCTAAACGTGACGAGTTGTCCTCCCAACCTGTACGGACGGTTTTGTCACCACACGTGCGGCTGTAAGAACGGGGGCCGGTGTGACCGGTGGCGGGGCTGCGTGTGCCGGCCAGGCTGGCGGGGGGAACATTGCGATCGGCCGTGCGACCGTGGTCACTACGGGTTGAACTGTCAGTCCGTGTGCGCGTGTCAGGGCAGGGGTACCTGTCACCACATCGACGGGACGTGCTTCTGCCAGGCGCCGTGGGACGGACCGGACTGCAGCCGGCTTCTGCCTGGATTGGAAGGCCAACATCTACAGTTATTAGGTATACTGGTAATACCTGCACTCTTTTTGGCCGTAGCATTAACAAACGTTCTACGAAAGAAAGCGACGCGCCATGTTTCTCGTCAACAGGATGAAGACGGCATCGTGCTAGTAGAAATACACACAGAAGACGAGGAGGAGGAGGAGGCGTCAAACCGTCGGTTGCCATGGGAACGGCGCGAAGAGCACCTAAATGTGCTGAAGATGATTGGACAGGGCTCCTTTAGTCACGTGGTGCTAGCACAGCTGCGCACACCTGGAAAAGAACCGGTCCTGGTCGCCGCGAAGTCCACCTGCCTGGCTGATGGTCGGGACGGGAGCGAGCGGTGTTACCGGGACTTCTATCGTGAAGTGGACATTCTGATTTCGCTCCACAATCAGTCCGAACGCAGAGAGGGAGATAACCGGCGTGTACACCCAAACATCGTCCAGCTACACGGCATCATCACTCAGTCCCGGCCCAGGCGGATCCTGCTGGAGTACGCTCCGCGAGGAGAACTTCTTCACTCCTTACGAGAGTCCCGTCAGGACCCGGACACCCGTCTGTCTGACCTGCTGCCGTTCGCCCTGCACGTTTCCCGCGCTCTTCGCGAGCTGGAAACTCTGAAGATCGTCCACCGGGACGTGGCCGCTCGGAACGTTCTCATCACGGAGGACGGCGTGGCCAAACTGGCCGACTTCGGCCTCGCCAGGGACGTTTACGCCAGCACGGTGTACGTCCACACCGCGCACCGCGGCCAGGACGACCTGTTACCGCTGAAGTGGATGGCGCTGGAGTCTCTCCGGGACGGTGTCTTCACCAGCCGCAGTGACGTGTGGTCGTTCGGCGTGCTGCTGTGGGAGATCGCCACGTTTGGACAGGAGCCCCGCTACCCCCGGGTGCCGTGCCGTCCGGACTGCGGACAGCTGATACACATCCTCACCGACACTCCGGCTGCAAGCGGCACGAGACTGGAGTGGCCGGCGGGGTGTCCCGTCTCCCTTTACCGGCTGATGTGTCAGTGTTGGGCCGCAGAACCAGAGGACAGGCCCGACGCTAAACAACTGGAACAACGTCTGGAAGAAAGTATCAATGATAACTGAGACGGATAGAATAAATCTTGAAAAAGACGTGAAAAGGAAGAGATAAGTCTGTGCATATTGTATGTAGTATCACTTTATGCAAGAACTGGACTCGTCTGTATTTCTAGTTATTCGTTTGTTTACTTATTTATTCCCACATTAAAATAAAAACAGAGTAATTAAAGAATTGTATAAAAGAATTCGTGATAGAACGTCCTTGATAAGGAAAATGTGCAGGATGATATAAGAAGCCTAGAAGGCTATAAACTTCTAAACTAAAAAAAATCATGAAACAAACTAATGTAATGTATTATTGAAAAGGAATTACAACGGAAAACAAAGATATAGCAAAGAAAAATAATACATATAAATGAATATCATGAAACTAAGTATAATAATTGCAAATGACAACGGAAAAAAAGATATAGGAAAGAACACTAATACATATAGATGGTTTAGCAAAGCAGCTCACTAATGACAAAGGACCGAAAACCAATATTATACTAGAAATTAATACAACTGAAATGTCACACAAATTAGAAATAATATGCATGACCCAACATGTAATACAATATTGTACCAGCAGTATGAATGAATGAATGAATGAATGACTGAATAAAGGTAGGCTATATACAATAAAGGTGAACAAAGTGAACTCATAACAGATCATAAATGCAAATAAACAAGTCTGTACATAATGAACCAAGATCTCACAAAATAAATACAAGTACATATAAGATAAATCAAATATAATAAGAGAAAACAACGTAACAAAAAGTGAAAACTGTTGATGTGTTATGAATACAGGTGTTTTCTTCTTTTCCCCCACGCTCGATGAATGAAAGTTGCAGTATATCTTTAAGACGTCGTAATATACGCAACCAATAATGAATGATAATGTGACCAATCCAAGAGACCTGCAGGATACGATGTCTAACCTTCATCGACGTGACCAGGAGATGATACAGAAGAAAATGCTTTTAGATATCAATTTTAAGTCACATCCTAACTTCCTAGTTAGCTACACTATATATATGGGAAACCTTTTCTTTCATGAAAACAAACACTGGTAGTTAACAACAATATTATTCTTCGTGACAAGATGATATTGTGTGCTTTGCCGTTAGTATTAAAGAAAAGGTGTTCATTACAATTAATGTGGTCTAGAGAATGGGCACTATACTTGTGTCTAGTGTTTACGTCCGAAAAGGGAAGTACAAACACAAATGTTCACAGATACAGTTCAGGAAAGGGAAGTTGTCACAAAAACAATACGAGACCTCGCGGTATGCAGAAGTTCACTTTTTCATGTCTTTTGCCTCCAGATACCGTCTGAATTTGAAGGACAAAGCAACGTATACGTAAGGCGTGAGCAACGTAAGGCAGAAACAGAGAGAGATCAACGCAAGAGATATTTTTTAATAATGTCGTATAAGAATGTCGTACGCAAAAGAATGAGAAAAAAAAACGCAACAAAGTCTTCTGGGAAGTAGTATTATATGAGGGCCTGCATGGGGGGGTAATGATTCCCCCCGATTATGAATTACGTGAACGTCTCAGAGCTGATTACGACTTTACGATTTACGGCTAATGTACTATAATTACGAATGCCTGAGGCTATTGACAGGATCGTCCTGTCAACAGCAGGAAATACTGCACTGCTGACAGGATCGTCCTGTCAATAGCAGAAAATACTGCACTGCTGACAGGACGATCCTGTCAATAGCAGAAAATATTGCACTGCTGACAGGACGATCCTGTCAATAACAGGAAATACTGCATTGCTGACAGGATCGTCCTGTCAGCAGTGCCATTTTTTGACACTGTTGACAGGATCGTCCTGTCAGCAGTGCCATTTTTGGCACTATTGACAGGATTTTTTAAATCTTCCATTTTGGGCTCTATTGACATGATTTCTTCTTTGTTTTCATTTGTTTAACCAGTCAGAAGGCATATGCTACTGTACTGCAGATTAGGCGTTTCACGATGGCGGCTATCATCACGTTAACAGTTATCAATACAGAGTACTCCAGCAGATATATGTCAAAACTAGACATGTTCAAAATATAAATACAAGCGAATTTCATGCATAAGCTGTCTGAAATACGAAGGCAGTTACATAAGATGAAGACAATAAAAAAGACAAAAAGAAGTTGATCTCTATCCATTATTTATTCTTTCAACAACTTTGAAATCAAATGGAACAAATCCAGGAAAATACCGCTGGTGTGGCATTTCAGCTAGCCGGCCCGCTAACAACAACAGCCCCCTGGCGCGCGTATCCAGCTGGCCACCGAATTTTACCGGCCCCACTGGCTCCCACAGTACCGGCAAAGGCACGCTGCAGGGCCTGGCACGCTGGTTAGTGTTACTGGGGGGCGGGTTGTTGTGTTGCTGTTAGCACGCCTGGCGGTTAACCCTGGGTGCCCCAGAGTCCGGCGTTTATTTGGCGATAGATTTCGGGAGAAACCGTATTTGTCCGCTACCATTATCCACCCAAACCCCTTCGTCCACGCGAAGCCCTCTAACGCCTCATGCGCGAGGAGATAATTAGACCCAGTGTGCCAAGTAGGTCTGCCGGGAGTTATAATGGCTTCCCGTGACTTTTACTTAGGAGATAGACACTCGCGCGCGGGGTGGCACCCAGGCTAGCCCGACGGGTACCCGCCGGTGGACCGCTGTGTCATTCCCGCGGCGCCGGCTGTAATGGCTAGCGCTTACTGTCGCCCCGACTAGCCTCTACCAGGCACCGTGGATCGCTGGAAAAATAATAGAAATTGGCCGAAATAAAGGGAATATATACCAAGGGAGTTAGCCGACCTTATTCCCTTTATTTCGGCCAATTTCTACTATTTTTCAAGCGATCCGCGGTGCCTGGTAGAGGCCAGTCGGGGCGACAGGCACGCACTGCCGCCGCATTGCTTACGGGAGGCCAGGCGCGCGCTACCGAGCGGGGGATCAATGTATGCACGACGATCTGCAGGGGCCGCAGCGCAGGATCGTAAAAAATGGCCTAATAGCATACATAATAACATCTACATAAGACCTACACGAACCAGCGCCCACCCCAAAATTTCCAGTACGAAATAAAAATACCAAAATTTTATCGATCCTGTCAATAGTAGAATAATTTGCACTGCTGACAGGAAAAATCCTGTCAGCAGTGCAAATTATTCTACTATTGACAGGACGATCCTGTCAGCAGTGCAATATTTTCTGCTATTGACAGGACGATCCTGTCAGCAGTGCAGATTTTCTGCTATTGACAGGACGATCCTGTCAGCAGTGCAATATTTTCTGCTATTGACAGGACGATCCTGTCAGCAGTGCAATATTTTCTGCTATTGACAGGACGATCCTGTCAATAGCCACAGGCATTACGCCTTACGTCGATTTTTGGGGCGGCTGCCTACGGATTACGACGACTAAAAGGCCTGATTACGCCTTACGAAAAAGGGCATGCAGGCCCTCTTATATTAGCCTCCTTCGCGATTTTGCCTTCGCGAGTTTTTGCCGCGGAGAGAAGGTTTCGCGCTTGTTGGAGCTTGAAACATTCTGTCCACGGCAAAAACTCCCTCGGCAGCAAAATCGTCCCTCCGCGGCATATATTACTCGCGTCGCTCACAGAAAAAAAAATAACGCCGACGCCTTACAAGTTTGCGAAGGAGGCTAGTATTATATGCACAATGCTCACAACGACTGCTGACCGTCAGCACATTAACAGGAGGGTCTGCATGCCCTTTTTCGTTAACCGTTATGGGCTATTTTAATTCACCGTTAATCGTTGCCGGCCTGCTCTAATTCAACGTTAAGCGTTATCAGTATATTCCTCGTGAAGCGTTATGGGTCCTTTTAATTCAACGTAAAACGTTATTTGTCATCCTAAATTCAGCGTTAAGCGTTAATGAATAATTCTGCGTTACGCCTAATTTTGCCTTTCAAAGTGCAGGAAAATGCGTCATTGAAGGTTCAAAAATACAAAATTTCCCGGACGTACATTGCTCGCGCCTTTGGCGCTCGATTCGCGCTTCTGCGCTTGGTCCCTTCGGCTCTAGCCAGCACCAGTTTTCCCTTCAATTACCGGAAGTTTGCGGAGAGTTACAGAATCTTTTTTTGACGAATCCGTCAACCTTGACAGGGAAATTAACAAAAATCTTGATTAAAATATGAAAACATCAGAAGGACCGACAAACACTCTCAACACCATGATTTGCCTCTGAAAATGCGGGAAATTGCGTTTTTGAAGGCTTAAAAATCCTAAATTTCCCGGGGGAGCATTCCCCCGGACCCCCCTAGATTACGAGCGACTCCCCTCTCAAAATCCATCGGTAAAACTGGGCAGACTGAAAAAATGCAAGCTGGCCGACGTCGACTCGGACACCCCGGTATTTGTGGACGCACTCGGGGACCAGGGCAGGTGGGAAACACAGGGACCACATACCTTTAATGCATCCTTCATTACATGTAAGGTATACGTAATTTTGTCACCTTTTCTCACAAAGCGAGATACCAAATCCAGTGCAGCTCGAAAAAAAAGCCTGTCAATTTACCGTTAAGCGTTGCCGACCGTCCTGAATTTACCGTTAAGCGTTATCGGCCCTGCCGAATTTACCGTTAACCGTTGCCAGGACCCCCCCATGCAGACCCTCTAACAGCTATGTTACCTATAAGCCTTCCCAGCGGGTGGGAGTTTTGATATTAGGTTTAACCTAAAACGCGTTGTTTTGTCAGAGAACGTAACTTATACCGCCAGAGAGGGTTAGAACGTTACATCATACCATTATCTGGAGGCTTGACGTTTTATCTCTGGCAAAACTCCCACCCGCTCGGTCCTAGCCTGCACAGTTGCACAGGAACATGGTTACCAGTTATTAAGCTCCAAGCAGATGTTTTGGTGGCTGCAACCTGAGACAAAATCAAATTGGATAACGTTAGGAAGTATGCAGGCTTATGCAGGGCTCGAAATTCATTTTTGGAATAGGTGCACTGGTGCACCCAACCTAAACATTTAGGTGCACAGAAATTTTTTTGGGTGCACCATACTAAACAAAACCTAATTGCAAGTATTACTGCTTCTCTTCTGAGCTTGAATATAAAATGAGAGCTAACTTCAAAATCTTGAAACAAGTACTACAACAAAGATTTTATTATTAGACCAAGAATATCCTGTATACTATTATACATTTGATATGTACAAAAAAAACCTACGAAAATATTGGGTGCACCAGTGCACCCACAGAAAAAAAATGGGTGCACAGTTCCACTTTTGGGTGCACCAAGGTGCACATGCACCCAGACCCAGTATTTCGAGCCCTGAGTAACGTTATCCATTTCCACTTCCGGCTGACTACTAGTATATTCCGGTGGTAAACGAGGGATTCCTATGACCTGAATTACTCCATACCTTCATGTTCTGCGTCGACAGGAAGCAGCGATTCCTTGATAGGGGCCGGCCGGCAACTTCTGACGACTATACGCAGCCAAACGATCGGTTCGGTTTTTCCGCCGCCCGGACCGGACCTCTTTTTCCACAAACCTTGGTATCTTGCGTGGAGCGATCGTGCACGATCTGGAGTGCAGTAGAGTGATCTAGACACTGGGCAGGCGTGTTTTCCGGCTGCCGTCCATTTACTTCACATCGTGCTAGTCTTCCCCTGTAACAGCACACCAGTGTACGATAGACAGGCAGCGGCGTTCTCAGTGTGGTCACAGAGACGTGATATGGTGTTGTCATCCGCCCCCCTCCCACCCCAGCACATGATGATGGCAGAACCATCAGAATCGAAGTTCGTATAAAATCATTCACCTGGAGTATTTAGTGTTAGAAATGGTTTATTTTGGCTTGTGTGAATTAACGTTAAAATAGTTAACTAAGGCTAATTTTGTAGACTTGAAATGTGTTTATAACTGTTAGAAATTATGTTGCAGTTTATATAATAACATAATAACCCTGTTTGCCAAGGCACCTAGAGTTAAATACCTATAGAGAGACTTTTGACTCTGAACTGAACCATGCGAAAATGTATGAGCACCAAGAGACCACGTCTAGCGGTATATTAGATGTAAAACAAGGACAACAACAACAGCAGTTTATTTGCCATTTGGTGTTTTGTTATTCATAATCAATTCATAAACAAACCATTGGTAGGATCATCCTGTCAATAGTGGAAGAATAACTGATATTCAGTGTTCTGCTCAATATCTTATAATGTCTGAGGCTATTGACAAGATGATCCTATGTTTGAATTATTGACAGGATGATCCTGTCGATAACAGAAAAACTGCACTATATTGTAAACAGGCTTTTCATTCGTCGTCATTTGCACCATGTTGGATTACGGTGTATTTGTGTTCGCCAATGGATTCATAATTTTATTAATTAAATTAAGAGCCTAATGACATGTATTACAAATTTTTCCACAATTAGCAGTCAATTAGCAGTCAATCTTGTAATCTTAAAACAGTGCCAGTGCCTGTTTAGAATTTAACAACATGTAAAAATAAAATAGATGTTTGCCCTACTAAAGTTTCAAAGACGTTACCTGGTGGGTGCTAAATATTGGGCCGTTAGAAAACGGCTAACGGTCCGATACTAGTCTGGTACCCAGGGTAAAGACAATTAAAAAAACACACACATATCGACGGAAACAAGGTGCACCCAACCTAAAAATAGTCGCACAAAAAATTTTGGGGTGCACCATATAAGCTAAAATAAGTAGAATATCAGTAAAAACTAATTGATATGTTTCATTTCTACAGAAATTTAAGTACTGACATTTTTGATGTTTATAAGAATAATGCTGACTATTTAAGATCTTCTATACATACGTAAACCTACGAAAATATTTGGGTGCACACACAGAAGAAAATTGGGTGCACAGATGCACCCTGTAAGTATTTTGAGCCCTGCATATCGTACATGTAAATTTCTTGTTGCAGGGTTATGGCAGACCCCCAGCCTCAGGCACCACAGGTACCGGTTGGGCCAGCACAGAGTCTGTTTGGACAGAACCAACAGGAACCAAGGCTGGGGGGTGTCCAGAACACGGTCAGGAGAGCTCGTCAACAAGGCATGCAGTTCAGATTCCCAGAGGCAGGGGGTGTGCAGGGTAGTGTGCAATACAGACCTCAGTATCATCAACGATCTTCTTGCCAACCTGGCAGTTGGAATACAGTGACAACATCTGATCCTCAAGAACCTTTGATGAGAATACCTGGAGACCAGAACTTACATGGGAACAGTTCTCCATGGCAGGCCAGCTGGAATCCACCACAGTCTAGAATTCCTCCCAGTGGGAAAAGTGTCTGGAGTGTCCCTACTAGAAGTCAGGAGAGTAGACGATCGCCCCACACTGCGGTGTTGAGGGCAGCCACAACTCGAGGTGGAGAGTACTCAGGAACATTTGGAACACTTCCTGCACATCAGCACAGACAGTACTGGGGTCCTACTGCTGACAGGAGGTACGTACATGTACATGGGGGCCTGCAATGGGGGGTCCCGACAACGCTCAACGCTGAATTCAAAACTTCTCGCTTACGCTTTACAATAAATTCCAAGTGGCTACAACGTTAACGCATTACGTAGAATCAAAACGGCGCTAATACACTCCGCAAAATTATTAGAGCGGTCCGTCTAGCTCTACGTGGAATTAAAACGGCCGATTACGCTCTACGGAAAAGGGCTTGCGGGCCCCCGGGTCCACAAGCAAAAGGTAGACAGGTCCTTGAGACAGCCCTGATTTGTTGGATCATTTTAGCCAAAATCAGAAAAAATTTTTAGAAAGGAAGAAAATTGACCTACTGCCCCTAGTTTTTTCAGACCTGAAACCGGAAACTTAAAACTAATTTTCCTAGGCCTTAGTACCATCCGTTTCGTAATGGATACCCTTAGAACCGCTGCCCCCCCCCCCAAAAAAAAAGGGCAGTCTTTTGGTGCAGTGAGTGCTTTCCCTATGTGCATCACAGTAAATATTCTGACTGCCCCTGTGTGCTAGGATGAAGTTTTGTCCTACCATGACCTTGTCTGCTTGGTTTCCCAGAGTTCCTAGTGCTGGAAGTGGGGCGTCCTCCCGACACAGGAGGAGGAAGAGACCAAGTTCGGAGGATGAGGGGTGAGCTTCACTGATATTTATTATTAACTTTACCAAGAAGGTCATGTTATCAGTGCTGTTTCCAGAATACATGTTTACAATGTCATTTTAAAGGTGTGGATGGATGATATTTAGTAGGTGGGTTAGGTTGTTGAATTTTAAGTAAGTTTGACTGTGGGCCTCCTAAAGTATTGTTGTAATGTATAGATTCCTAGCACTTTCCATTTAGTACTAGTATATAGCGTTCCAGTATAAAATACTCAATGTTTTGCATACTGCATATCCTCTTGTGCAAATATAATTATAGCCCATCCGGGCAAGAACAATAATTGCAATAAAGATTCATATCATATTATATTTTTTTGTATGCAAATTGCTCAGGACATGCTATGATGATGATTGTTTAACAATATACAAATTCAAAGCATTATGCTTTAAATATTCATTTTTGAGGAGCCTGCTCTCACACTAACATTATTATCACACAGTGTTGAAGGCTAACTCAAAACTGCCACCCCTGAATCATCAAGTTTCCTGATATCCTGTTTCTCTCACATCAGACCCTCCTCTAAGATGTTCCTGAGTGAGGAGAAGATGGCGGCTCATCTCAACAAGCTGTCCATCAGTAATGACCACAACTACGTCGGCATGACAACCAGACTGCCAGGCTCCTCCCGCCTGTCTCCAGCCCAGGATAAGAACAGGGTGATTATCGAGGATCTGAGTGACGACAGCAGCGATGAGTGGACCAGCTCCTCAGATAGTGAGGGTGAGGAAAAATTACCCAAACACCTATTTATTATTTATTTAGGCCACACCAATTTAATTTCTTGGTTAACGGATTCGCCCGCTTCATTTTTTTCTGATTTGCAAATAAAAATAAAAATTCAGAATCAACTGCGAAATGCTCATATTTTGCCTTGAACAGTTGAAAACAGTCCCTTTCTTCCTAGTTATTACAGTATTCCATCTTTCAATGCAGTGGTATCATTAAAAGTTCAAAATTCATTGTTTAAATTTTGAACCAGCCTGGTGTGTTGACTTCATGACTCCTATTGTACCATTTTGGGCCATAATAGGATGCCTAGGCCTGTTTTTATTACTCCGTGAAGGAGGTCAGGACCTCCGGACGGAGTGTTGTAATCGGCTGATTTTTCATGTTCGCAGTCAAAACACTGGGTTCTCTTTGTGTAATCGGCACGCAATTTTATACGCCTTCTGCGGGCATGCCCGTGTTGATGCACGAATGTGTATTTTTGCCGTTGCTGCTTTCGCGGTCAATGTAATATCGCAGACGCACCCCTACAATTACGAGGCGAATTGGAATGGTCCAGAAAAACGCGTTGTTTGGAATAGCAGTGGGGTTCAAAAAAGTTCATGCAGATACGGGGTGGTTTTTATAAGTGGTTCCAGATTTTTTTTGCCCATGGTTAAGAGATGCCAAGTTTTTTGGAAGATGTTCGCAGCCAAAACGCATTCTTCCGTACGTCGCATTTCTGTGTAATTTCACATGTGGTGTTGCATTATGTCCGGGATGATGCACGTCTTTTTATTTTTACCGTAGCTGTTTTGATATTGGAGTAAATGCTTATTTTCGAAACATCCCCATTTCTTTGAAATGGTTTCGTCCGTTTATGCAATTGTTACTGCGCTAATGACGACCAGTCGCGCTGTCCTGATACACCGCGAATGTGCGAGTGTTCCCTGTAGACAGTCCCGGGAGTCATTTTTTTCGCACATTCCAGGAGCCAAACCAAAATACGTTCATGAACCGAGTCCAAAAAACCGAAACGTGAAAATCGGATGATCGGACCTGATGTACATTTCTCTTTCTATAGATTGTACACACAATACACACATCTTTAGATAATCTGGCCATGGCAGGTTAAAAAAAAGTAACCCTGAATCATACTAGATTAGCGTAAATGCATGTTAATGCGTTCAAAACAAGAAAAAAATTGTTTCCGGGTATTAATCTCTTGAATCACGGCGCTGAATATTGACGCAAAAATATTTCGGGCATCGCGCGCCCTTCCCGCGTCACGTGTAGGCATCTCGCATCTCTGATTGGTTGTTGCGTCTTAAGATGACTGAGCCGACGCGCGTTTAAACAATTTTTCTTTGTTCGATTTATCACACTTCACAGAGAATTGTCGCCAATGGCTACTTCTTTTTGTTGCAATATATAATACTTCACGGAGAATTGTCGCCTATGGCTTCTTGTTTTTTTTTTGCTCGCCCGCTCCATTATTAAAAAAAAAAAATCCATTAACCAAGAAATTAAATTGGTGTGGCCTTATTTCTGTTTTATTTAAACAGGGTAGAGACCTCAGTGCTATTTAAAAACACTGCTTTTCAGGAATGCCCTGTGACAACAAGTTACACATAAAAACAATGAAACCAACACATTAAATAATACATAAAGTTACAAAACAACCAAGCATCAAAACAAGATCGTTTACCGTAAGTCAATGTCGTTAAGCCAGGCCGAGGTCAGAGGTCAGCAGTGTAGTTTCAGAACCTTCTTAAACGACAGGTAAGACGTGGCCACTCTAACTGTGGCAGGTAGGCCGTTCCAGGCAAATGCTCCCCTGTACGCAAACTTTCTTCGGCCAGATTCCAGTCAGACTTTAGGAAGTTTTAAAGATAAGTTTGAGTTGTGCCTAGTTTGGTAGATATCCAAAAATATAAACCATATAGCATGTCCACAACACCAGATATCATAGCCATGAAGCTTGCTGCAGTACCATACAAAACAGCTAGAGTACCCGTAATTGACCTTGATCTTCATTGTCCAAACTTCAACCTACCTACTAAATACCATAAAGAAAGTATACATTGCACCATCCCAAGTAACATCTGATTTAAAAATCTGCAACCGCCCTCAATATACATGTTGTACATGTATATGGCGTACATGTATCTCACACATATCCTTCTGTACGAAGGTAATACATGTATTTACAACAGCAGTTATTCTCTGAATTCAAAGTCAGAATGCTATTGAGTTATTAATTCCAATTCTATCCACATTACCAGCTTCGTATTTTAATTTGTACTTGAATTCAAGCTCGAATTTGATTTGTATTTAGGAACTGAGCCATGCTGTTTTTGTGCAATTAGGTCATAGTGATTTGAGACTAAGCAAGCTACATTTCTTAAAATGTCAGTAACTTGAATATTGCTTGGGTAACTCCCCCTGAGGAAGAATTCCTGCAGCAGACCTGAGTGATGTTCACAGTTTTCCTCCTATTGCAGTCGGCTCCACCATTCAGATCAGCCCGGAACTGCAGGAGGGGATGAAGCAGGTTGCAGGAGAGAGGCTGCTGCCAGAAGGCCTGTTTGAACGGCTGTAAGTAGAACTACTGGTTTTGTCTGTACTTTGATGACTTCTAATGGTCAAACACTTTGGACTAGTAGATAAAAATATTAATTGGACACCCCTTGTGATTTGCTGTCTGCAGTATTTCCTCCAAGCACCAAGCCAAGGAAATTTCCTGTCTGTCTGTACTACAATGTACATGTACTGCATTGTTATTGATAGCTGTTAGAATGCGAGCTTGAAGCCCAGGCTGTCACACATAGCCGAATATGGCCTCCCCAACACTGCCTAACTCCCCCCACCATGGTTAGGAGTATACTGCAGGTTGGGAGCAAGGTCGGCTGGTGTTCGGCCAGTACAGCTACTGTTCAGCTGTGCCAGCTAAATGTTTCAATATGTTAGAAACATTCGGGTGTGGGCAGAAGGTTTGGCCATGGTTGGCTGGTGTTCAGGGGTACAAGTAGGTAGGGGTATGGTTGGCAGTGAAATTTGGCTCAAATCTATCTCAAATTCGATTCAACAGAAAGGTAGGCATGGCCTAAATCTGGTCAGATTGTTCCTGAACTTCAGCCAACCTTGGTTACTAGTAACTGGTGTTCTGGAGAAGGTTCTGAATCTGTGACAGATTTTACCTAATTGCCATGTTTTTTTTTTTGTTTGTTTGCCCAGAAACCGACCATGCATGGATGTTGTGCTCTGGAAGCCACCGGGGGATTTTGTACAAAGTGTCATCAACAGTTCCACTGCACCAAAGGAACAGATCACCCCAACAGTCATCCAATCAGAACCCCTGTTACTTACTCAGGACAACTCTTCTGTCATCTGTAACCATGGTGACAGAGAGATGATTGACACAGAAGTCATGGATCATGTGACCCAGCCTGCTGTCATGTTTGATTCTGTAGATGATGATATGGAGCTGTAGTACTTTAATGAAGACATATATGTATATTGAGGAAAGGTGTCATCATAGAAGTCCATCCATGTCGCTAGGTTATAAATATGGAATACGGTGTGTTCCGTATCGCCCAAGGTATCGGCCCGACTCGCGGGAGGGCTGGGACCGAGGGTGATGTGGAATACACCGTGTTGTATTTTATTTATGTCATACCCCCCCCCCCAAGAAAACACGCCTTTCAATGCAAGATGAGCCAAAAGTTGGTGACCCTGAACCCTCAAATGCAACAACATCAGTTCCAACGTCCGGATTCTGTATTCGAATTTTCGAAAGTGGCGCACATGGTTAGGGCAAAATGCGTTCAAATCGTTCTATGAACTTTACGGTACGGCCCGGTCCGGAACCCGTTATCGAACGTTATCGCAGCCCGGTCGTGGTCGTGGAAAATCTGATCCTTTTGTACCCTTTGTGTTGAAATAAAGTGTAGCATTTTACAAGGAAATGCATCATGTGAAATGACATTCAGCTTACATGTGCAAGTCTCTGCTGGGGCTTGTTGTGGACTTTCCTGTTGTGACGTTTCCACTTCTACCGGAGGCATGGCTTAAATTCAATCAATCTGCAGTTACTAAATAATTCTACTGTCTTCTTGCTTGCTAAGGGGAGTTTGATGTGCATGTCATGTTAGCTGCACATGGACATGCTAATTTCTGTTTCCTTGGATAGTCCATATCATTTTGAGATTCTTCGGCAAAGTTTTTAGTGCAAAATTTTAAAAACTGTGTATGAGCAGGTTGACAATCTTGCAAACTTGAGACCATCTATACCATCATGTATTTCACATTTCAATAGATAAATTCAGAGATTTCAGACCCACAAAAACTGCTTGCATCATTTCTGTGTATTCAACATGTTCAAACAGCTTTGGTCAATGTGTGCGGAAGAATGATGCATTTTAATTCATGGATATGAGTTCTTTGTGAAAAAGTTGGTTTTTGCTAGTGAGAGAGGGTACCCTGCAATCATGGTACATGGTGAAGTGTTGCATTTTGTTGGTAGTTGTGCTCATGGTACATGCATATTTATAATTATATACAGTATATTTTGTGTTAATATAAATTTTGAAAAGCAGTTCAATGTTTGTAAGGTATGAATTACCGGTAGTGCCCACCCACTCGAGATAGAAAAGGGTCATTATAAAAAGTTACTGGTTCAGCAGAGATTGGAAAATGAAATACAGTTTTCATTTGTAAATGCTCTTATAGTGAGGCTGCTATTTACATACTGCTTAGTGTTAGTACAAATTTGCAATTAGCCCTTGAGTTTGCCAATAAATACTTTAGATATTACTTAGATTGGCACCTCAACCTGCAATGTTTTTACATTTTTGTAAAACTACTGAATCAATAAATGGCTTGACTAAACTATGTACAGTCATATAAAGCTGCAAATGTGTAAGATTACTGGGTGATTTTCTTAGAATAGTTACAGGAAAGGATGACCAAACCATCTGAAATACTTTAGATGCTCCTTCAGGGCTCATGAAATATCGAAACCGGAAGGGAAGTTCTGATACAGTACTTGAGAAAGCTGTCAAGTTACTCAAAATCTAATCATTTCTTTGTTTGGCTGCATGCATCAACAGACCAAATATAAAATGTATTCAACACTTCTCAAGTTACAAAATGTATGCTGTTCACAGATAGACACACACACACCACAGCACTGAAAACATTTGAGGCTTCAAAAAGACACAAAACATACAATTTAAATTCTTTAATGTTTTCCCCAAGCATCTCCACTACTTGTACGTACGTAACAAGGGAATGAACATCTGACCTCTGTACATTCTCCATTTGTCTAAATCCATATTGCACAGATTAGAAGTGTCCACACCTCCAAACCCATGCAGAGCTCCTCTGGAGCCACCGCACCCCTATGTTTGTAAATACTGTGTTCCAGAAGAAAGCAATGGGAGATACCATTTTACAATATAGGGTGGATTATACCCCAGAGAAAGCACCAATCAGGGGAAAAGGTTCAACACTTAAAATTCACAAACGGTAATCAAGATCATTTTGGTAAAAAATACATTGTGCTAAATGCAGCATGCAGTGGACCCCACAACATTCACTGTTTTCATGCTACCCACAATATACTGTCCGGGACCCCGTCATCTTGTGGCAGTGCAATTTTAAATGTTTTTTTTTCAGTGACTGGAAACCAGTCAAAACCTTGAGTAGGATGAATCTTGAGAAGATGCTGAGTTGTTAAGTATCTGGGAGTTAGACAGGATTTGAGTTTGAGGACAGAAGTTAGGAAAGATCTGGTCTTGAGAACTGATAGCTCTGACAGATCCTGAGAGGTTGTTGCTGAAGATATTTACATTGTACATTACTGATGACAGGTAGCTTTTGTTAATAGAAAATTCATAGAATAGTACAGAGGTACATACACTTAATAAATATTTAACATCTTTGCTCAGTATGAACATGGCAATGTCTGTTCAGTAGACATGTAAGAATTTTTTGCTATTTATCTCTAGATCAGACTTGTAGCAAGTCATACATGTAGTTCCTACTAGAAAATTCACTGTTCACTATACATTGTATCTTTTAGACATGGTAACTATGATGGTGAAAATTCTTGATCCCTTCCAAGGGAAACTGGAGGAAAAGGTAAAACATTTACTAAGATACTCCATAGAGAATTGTGAAGCTTGCAGAGCAGAAAGGCACCACAGAAAGACAGGAAAACAAGCTTTATGTCAACTGATTCAAATGTTTTAATTCACATTCCCTTCATAGAATATTTAAATGTATGTTGCCATGTTTTCCTGGGCAACTAGTCTACAAATGTACATGAAGAATGGACCAATTTTGGACAGATCACATTTTGTGGTTTCGCACAATAAGAAAACTTGTAAAATTGCACTGCTATAAGACAGACCAAGGAGGTTATAAGGGAGACAGACGTAGTGCATTATGGCGAGTGTGAAAACAGTGAATGCATGAATTTTGTCAGCACCAATATGAGCATGGCATGGTAATATCTGTTGACTTATCAACCTACAGTAGTGAGGAAGAATCATTAGATTCATTACTTTTATTGATGAAGGGCTTTCTATATTGAACTCTGTTTGTGTGGGGAGGGGGGCACTCAGCCATGGTGACCATCACATCAAAATACTGCCAGAAGAAATAACAACCAATATGGCTGAAGTAACACTGCAAGGAGGTACAACATCTTTTCACTTTAGCTCTTACATTAGATGTGTACATACTGGTCATTTGGGAGGGGGAAAATAATTTGTGAACTCCACAGCTTTAAAATTATCCAAGAGCTTACAAACCGTGTGTAGGCAGGGTTATTCAGTAGAGATCCATTTTGTATAACACATGTAAGGGAGTTGGTGGGTCACTCGAGCCCATCCCCTGTACTTTGGGGTGTTACTGTCAGATTTGACAGGACAGTGGCAATGTCTATAGCTGCAGCTTGTCTCACATTCATGTTAACATCAAATTAGGTTTTCCATAAACCCCTTTAACACCCCCCTGAAGTCTAGCTCATCCATGTACATTAATATCTATATACAGTCATGTACGTTGAACATCTGTAGGTAGAGTCTACCTACATGCACAAGTCAACACAGAATGGGACTGGCAACATCAACTTGAACATTGTAACATGCCTGCTCTATCCTTCCTAACTTTGGTAACAACTCTATCATTGGAAGACTGCTATCATTTTCTCCATGCAGACCAGCACACAAACAGCCAAATCTAAGGAAAATAATTGCCTATACCACCCTACATGACAGTGGTCGGGGTAAACTGTACAATCTCACCTGAACTACAAAGTAAGAGTTACTAAGTGATCAATGAACAGAATTATAGAAATTGACAACCATTTCCACAAAACCCTAGTGACACCCCCCACAACAAGGCATCGTAGAACCAACTACATATTTGTACACCATCGTCAGATTGTACATGATTTCTTAGTACATAATATACAAATCTTCTCATGGTTTAGGCACTACATGTATGTCTTGGGAACAGCATAAGAAATAGTGTAAGGACCAAACATGCACATAATGTCAACATATTCCAGCATACTACTCAGTACTGGAAAACTTCACTGGAATCTATCTTATCCTCAATTGCACAGTTAGGGAAGGGGCCACCATGCAGATGTACTCTTCCTGCACATATGTAAATCATAAGTAAATGGAACAAAATCATAATTTTTGCATACATGCAGCAAAGCCTCATGCGAGCTCTGTTATCTGTGGATAGTTTAGCACTGTGATAGCACATTTGGTCAGTAAAACTAACAAACTGGATCTCTTTCATTTATCAGAACATTTCTATACACATCTGAATGCTACAAAATAATACAGTATCCACCAGTAAGGATACCTGAAAGAACAAGCATTACATGTACCCTAGTAACATGGAGAGCTCTGCTCTCTTTAATGGTAATGCATGTAAGAAAAAAAAACTATCCTGACAAAGCAAGGCAAATCTTACATGCTATATGGCTTCACCTGCACTTTTTTTCAACAATTAGGGAAACATTGAAATTCTTGCTGCATTTCAATACTTTTTTTTACAAAACATGGATTTTTCAATGTGTATAACTTTACAACCCTTATATTTCCCAACTAGAATTCCTAGCAAAGTCAGGCTATTTCTTACTGGTTGTCAGATGATAGTACATGTATATTACACAGCTACATTAGTGTCAATCATCTGATACAGCCTTCTCCCATTGGCCGAGCCATGATGGTGTGACTCTAAAAGACTGCCGTTGATTGGTCCAGCTAGCGAAGTGCTGCTATTGTCAGAATCTATTATTGACAGGCTCAATCTGATTTGAATAAACCTGTATTCACACATCAAGCCCTTCTATCAGAACAGCAGTTGTGTCTGATATCCTTGGGCTTGTTTGTGTATGAAAAGTAGCTTGAAACTACAAGCCAGCACTTGGTTTGCTACCTACACCTGATAAAGTTTGGTTGTAAGGATTTTTTTCATCCACATAGTAGATAATATTATCATGTTTCTACCTATTCCAACTTGACTAAACTATCACTTATCTTACTAGACGTATATTCTCTCTTGACAAACATTGCCTGTAAAGATAAAAACATTAGTTCAACATACTATTCTGCTGACCAGGATCCACATTCCACTTCTACACAACACCCATATCATGTACTACAGGTAACAGTTCTTTCAACCCTTTGCTGCATAGGTACACTCCGGGGTGGACTGTGTACCAAGTTACTGCCAGGTGGAGAAAACATACATAGTCATGACGTAAAGTAGGGCTGCGTACCAGTTCTGTACTGGGAAAATTAGGTACAGGTCCAAAATACCAAATCGCAAAGTACCGGTACATACCAATATCAATTTACACTACCCTAGTGGCCTCATGCAACAAAGTGACACCAGGAGGGAGCATAACAAATAGATCTTTCAGGACAGTAAGAGTATTGTGGGACACTATAGGAATTTAACAAGAAACTATCCACACGGTTCTGTTATGTTTGAATAAGACATAAAGGTTGCCTAGTTCTGTCCTGTTTTATTTGAATAATGATTTAATGAAGTTTATAACGGTTTCTACTGTTATTGAGGAAGTTCAGAAGAACATAATTATGTGAATTTGTCAAATTGTTTAGTTACCTATGCCTAAACCTCAGTACAATCATGATGTTACGATTAGGTACGCAGCCCTAGTGTAAAGCTAACTGCTTGTGACATTTATGAGAGTTTTGTTTCATACTGCACACTGGGTCTTGTTGACTTGGTTATTTGCATGTGTACATGTATGTGGACTACAGGTAGATGTCAGGACACTGTGAGAATTCCCCCTTTGTCTTGCAGTCCCAGTAATTGCCTTTGTACATGTGGATGAAGTTTTTGGTCTGTGGATCCAGTTTCTTCTCGAACCACACTGGTTTGTGACCCTCGTAGGGCTTGCCTGCAGCGGAAAACAAACAGACAAGGTGAGAGGTCTGGAAAAAGTGAACAACACAGTCAAGTATGAAAGTTCATCTGAGTTGGTAAATTACATTATGAAAAACTTAAACTTTTCTCCAACTCAAAATTTGACTCACCAGAAATACAGGATTACTTCAAGAGAGGCATAAAAGAGGCCATATACATCAGGGCACTTCAACCATCGCTCAACCGGGACGGGGGGCGATATTGACTTCAGACAACCTTTGACCCTTTGCTGTTGTCACACGTGGGAAAAATCACGTGTCCACAGCATTTGGGTCAGATAGCTGAGGAAGACTGAGTGATTCAGTCGAAAGTTTCTGGTGAGTCAAATTTTGAGTTGGAGAAAAGTTTAAGTTTTTCATAACACAGTCAAGTATTACACCACTGATGACATAGGAAATTTCTTGTATATCCTATATTCATACTCATAACTGTAATACAAAAATGTGATGTCGCTGAAGCGCCTAGGAAAATAACTGCTTGATTTGTATGGTTGGCTCTAGCTAGTCTCCTCACATTCAATGTAGTTGTTCTGGGGCTATTTTAAATGCTTCAAGTATGAAATGATGATGAAACGGTGCTAAGCATTTCCTCATTATTCTTTGTTTTTCTGCCCTGAGACTACCTTTAAGTATTGAAAACCTGTAAGCTGGGGGTTTATCTTTCATTGGAGTAATCATTATGTTACCCATGTATGCAAAATAATAGCTTTTCTGCTAATAGATGTACACAATGTTGTATGTCATGCTACTAAAATGTTCTCGTCCCCTCATCATGGTTGGTTACATAGGATTTTATTTGCTGCATTCATTGTTACCACCACTATATAGTATCAAGTAAGTATAAATCTAAAGAAATAATTATGGTAGTGTTTGTAGACAGTTTTCAGTATGATCCATGTTGCCTGAGTAGTGCAGGTAAAATTTGTCTGGTGCAGGTACACAGTACATGACATTGTAATTTTCAGTGTTTGCAGAAGAAGTATTTTGAGCCCTGTTATGCCATGAACACCAGCTACGTAGTCCCACCTTCTCCTGCTGCCTGTGCTGCCTCAGCCTCTCGCTGTTTCCTCTTGGCTCGTTGTTTTTCCTCTAGCTGAACCTTCAGGGTGTTGGCCTCGTTCCAGTGCCCATTCTCCATGGCTCTCTGGTCAGGTCTGAGATACATGTACAATGGACATGTACAATGTAGTACATTATTTCAGCATGAAAGTTCATCTTTAGTAAATTACATTACGAAAAACAGTTTATTACTGTTCTCCAACTCAAAATTTGACTCACTCACTTATCGACTTCAGACAACCTTTGACCCTTTGCTGACGTCACACGTGGGAAAAATCATGTGTCCACAGCATTTGGGTCAGATAGCTGAGGAAGACTGAGTGATTCAGTCTAAAATTTCTGGTGAGTCAAATTTTGAGTTGGAGAACAGTTTAAGTTTTCATCATGTAGTACATTATTATTTTGTACTTACCACATTATTACACTTGACACATGTCTCATCAGTAACATTTTGTACAATATTATTTTGCATCTTTGGTTTTCCTCAGTCTGATACTTCTACCAAAGAAGAATTATAGATACTTCATGTATATGATAAACTTTTGTGACAGAAGTTACAGCCAGAAGCTACTACATGACATTGTACATATACACATGTATCACGAAGGTCATACATTTATATGACATATATCTGGGCCGGAATAACTTTCAATATGGCCTGTGTGATATCTACCCATATTACAGTCAGGGTTTTAACAGTTATCACCTGGGCTTCTAAAAGTTCCGTAGACAAGCCTCAGGGGTTAATGTAACAAAAAACACCAGCTGTCAAGAAGGTCATGTAATGAAAAATATCTACAAAAGCAGTGAGTGCTACCAGATGTAGACGTGATTAACGACTTTCCCACTCTGGGACAGGCTGAACCAAACCATATCCCTTACAAAATGAAGATACAATATCTGCAAGTTTGAGAATGTTGACTGACCTGTTCCTACTGTCTGTAGGAGCCACCTGGTCCTCTGGTTCATTCAGGAACATGGCCATCTCTGTGAAGTTGTACATGGTTGTGTTCCAGGGGCTGCACATCAACATACAGGGCAGGGCAGGGTTACAGCACAAGAACAACATGCACACATCATGGATGAAACTTGGCTACATGTAATCATCCCTACTCTTCTCAATCATCTTCCACGGGGAAAAAAGACCAACCCTACAGTTTCACAGGATAATACCAGACCATAGCCTGTTCAAGACTGCTGCAGTACCAGGGGAGCTGCTAGGGGGCTCAACTTTGCCCTTGACCTTCCCATATACCATTGTCTATTATAATGACAATCTATGTATTAATTGGTTCTTCCATTTGCCTGCCAATGTACATGTGGAAACACATGTACATACACATGACAGTCACATACACACAGCCAGAATAGACATACATTGTACATGAAAAAGGTAACCAGGTACAAATTTAAAAGTAGTACGAACAGCGAGGGAATCTGGGCTCCTAACGTTGTCCAAAGACATACAGTGTATGCATAGTGCTGCATACCTAAACCCACATTTAGGTTCAGGTCCGGATTCAAGTCCAGAGACTTGTAAGTCCGGACCTAAACCCATGGCATATACAAAATTGTATAGGTTTTAGGTGGTTTGGAAAGAAAAGGGGTATGTGAAATGATCTTTCATGGTAATAAGTCCGGACTCGGTTCTTGACTTTTAGGTTTTTTTGGACTTGAACCTAAACATTCTTACAAGTCCGGAGCCAAGTCCAGTGAACCGGTATGCAGCACTATGTATGCATGGATAGTTGAGTATGACTTATGACTTACGGAGGGTTACTTCTGATCCAGATAACTTTAGGTGCTGTTGTTTGGTACACAGACTTGCCCCGCCCGTTGCCGCCAGTCTGGTCCTTGACTATCTTGGCGTACTCTATCTTCTTGTCCCAGGTGCCTGACAGGACGTAGTGAGCCTGTCCATCCTTGTCTGTCACCACACCTGTCACCTGGAATGTCACAGGTGTAACACAGTTACAGCAGTCACAGGTGTAACAAAATTTCAACCAGTCTTTAGGCCACACCAATTTAATTTGTTGTTTCTCGGATTCGCCCTGACCATTTTTTTCTGATTCGCAAAAAAAAAAAATTTGTTCGAAATCAACGGTTACTGCAAAATGTTCAATGGAAGACATATTTTGGCCCCAACAGTTGAAGAAAGTCCTTTTCATTGTAACAATGCAATTTTGCTTTATTAAAAGTTCCAAATCTATTGTTTTAATCATAAAAGAGCCTGGCATGTTCACATATTGTAACATTTCTGGCTATCATGGGGTGCCTTGGACTGTTTTTTTTTATTTCGCCCTGTCGCTTTATATTTTTTCTGAAAAAATCCGAGAAACAACAAATTAAATTGGTGTGGCCTCATGCAGCTGTCTCACATTTCTGACATTCGTGGTTGGTGCTGCACTGGGCACACTGAGTTTGAAGTTAACAATCACACAGATAACAGCTGTGTTTCCAGCTTTTCCAGCTTAGGAGTTACGGTAATCGTAGTTTTTGTGTCTAGTTATGAATTACTTTTTTGTACTTAATCAAATGTTCCTTTTGCAATGAGCCATCGGGCATAAGTTTGCAATAAACAATTAAAGTTGTTCATTTTTTCTGACATCTTCCCACAGACAATCATGAATATTCATCATTCAGATCTATGGTTTCTCAAGTTATGCTGTCCATAAACAAACAAAATAATATATACAATGTAGCACCAAGAACATAACCTTCTTGGCAAAGATGTATGGCAATGCTACATCTGTATGTGGTAGTGACTATTGTTGATACATAATGTAAACAAAATAGTTTTTACATGTACACAATTATGTACATACACTGCCTAACTAGTCTTTGATTGTTCTTGTATTTCACACTGTATTTGAAATTATGTGCCCTTTGTGTTTTGTCCTTATATGTTGACTCTCTAATATCAGCTTTGCTGCCTTGAGAGTCAGTGTAATGTCTTGTTGCATTTTTCAATAAATAAAATAAATAAAAATAAATAATACCTGCCTAACTAGAAGCTGACTCCTTGCTCCTCTCTATAAGGTACCAACAAGTCCCTAGCCAAATGTGCTGCTTGTTAACTTTATTTCTTCTTTAGATCTTCTTTATTTATTCATTTATGTACTCATTATATAATGATTCTTATAGTTTAGGGTTGTCTGTACCTTCCTGGGAGTTTCCCTGGAGAAGTAGCTGTATGGTGTGTAGACCAGATGACACTTGTCTCCTGTCTTGTGGTTCACAATGTCCATCTCTCCACTCTGACAGGAAACAACAAAATATTTTCATTAAATATCCAACTTAGGCAACACTAAACATCATTAATCAAAATCAATTGGTTCTTGGATTTGCTGCATTATTTTTATCGAATTGAACAAACATTTTGAGACCAGACCTCCCATTCTGGCCATTCAAGAAAATTTCACTCACACACACTGACTTGATTTTATGGATGACATCCTCTGAAGACCCCTAAACGTGAAAATTGGAAAGCTTATTGCTACTCTTCACAATGATACCAAATGCCATGACTGTACATTCCACCCTCCCGAGCAGGCTTAGTGGCTCGGCCCGAAGGGTCCTCCTCAACTAACCCTGCCAATCTGGATTCGATCTGAGCCTCCGGCCCAGGTAGCCTATAAATATTAATGAGCTTGCCTTATTTGGCACATGCTCTTGAGACTGTAGCTCTGGCTGCGGCTGGAAAGCCCATGTAGCACAGGCTTTTCCCTCCGCCTGTCCTCACACTGAGGAACACGTCTCGTCCATCAAGCAGTCCCTGCAGCGTGCTTTTTTGGTGTTCGTGAAGCTGTTCGACGCCGAAAAAGTCTTGCACGGCTGAGAAAACATTACCAGCCACCATTACAGGAAATCCAAACCAGCGATGTAAGACGTAACGTGATTGGCTGTCGGATTCCCGATGACCTTTGCCCTTAGCTTTGCACAACTGAAAGCTGTGTCTCTGATTGGCTGACAGCTTGTTATAGGCTTCCTGGGCCGGAGGCTCAGATCAAATCCAGATTGGCAGGGTTAGTTGAGGAGGACCCTTCCGGGCCGAGCCACTAACCCTGCTCGGGAGGGTGGTACATTTAGGAGTGGTCTACTAGAGCTGCTTACAGTAGGCAAGTCTTTGTGTGGGTAACTGAACAAGGCCGTACCTGGTCAATCCACAGTTTGCCGACGATGATGTTATGCACGATGGACGTGACCTTCCTCCAGGTGTAGTGGTTTCCTGTGGCTGTGAACTTCAGGTGAGCTATTCCCTGTAACATACATGTACAACAGTCAGCTCAGTCAGTTGTTGAAATGCCCATTAGATACGCCTGTTAAGCTAGCAGTTGCACATGGAATTGGGTTGGCCTTTGACAAATTTGCTATCAGTACGTTAAATATTTTTTATTATGTTCTTCAGAGTGCTGGCCAGTCACGAACCCAAAATTATACATGATTCACTAAGTCTTGTTCCTATAGCTATCTAGTTGGAACCCTGGAAGATTAGCCTTTTGGCTGAAGGGTATCGGAATAAAGAGAATAAAGAGAAGAGACATAACAAGACTGGCAATGAAAACATACATTGCCATGGTGACGGTGGTTGTTGTTAGGGTTATTGTTTGCATGGCACTGCCATCATTTCATGATTTTGAGGAAGACTCGGTACTTGGACTTTGGTTAAGTCTAGACAGATACAGTACACTCCTCCCCTGAGTGCATAGTGAACGAGCCCCGGGGTCACAGAAAGCAGGGTCATCTGGGGCAGACAGATCTTCAGGGTTCCAGGAATGTGGGCATGGATGTGGGTCAGAGAAATGCCTGTGGACATTCTGCATGCCTGTGGACAAAATGCCTGTACAATTCCTAGAATTCTTGCGAATTGCACACAATACTGTACCATTAGGCTCCTCCCTGAGACGTCGCCAAAAACTTGAGGGCTCACAGACAAGAGACTGACCTGTGGAATGATGTTGAGGTACTTCCCACGGAACTTGGAGGTCATGGTGAACTCCTGCCAGGACTCCCAGCCATGCTTACTGTCCACATACGCAGCTGCTGCAGGGGGGTGATGGCTCACCTGAGGGTTAGACCAATCAAATCAAATTTGAGTTAAACTTGAATCAAATATTACTGCCAAACATGCCGCAAACACTGACGACCTACTCCCAGTAATTTTGATGTAGTTCTAAATTTCATGCTGACATTTATTACTTTCCAGATGAAGTAACAGACCTCGGAATTACATACCCTAGTCAAATGATATCATCTCGATCTTATGAAAATCCAAAATGATTTGTCAGATAAATCTATAATCAATACCGAATAGTATATGAATTTCTTGTGTTGGAAATGCCATTTTAAAGTCTTGACAAACTAGGACTGCTACCAACACAAACAAAACTTGAAAGATCTCCCATACCTGTTCTGTGATAGCTCTCCACCCAAACTCCTCGGTGAGATCTAACTCGTACGTCTCCCCCAGTAGTGGGTTGAAGGGCTTGCCTGTACGCTGGGTTGTTGTAGAATACGCTGATGCCGTGAAGGCGGCCACGTACGCTAACTGCTCTGTGGACGACTCCAGCTGAGCGGCCTTGTTCAGGATATCTGAGTACTCAAAATCTTCTGTCAGCCTTTGAAGCATGGATATGGGTTCATTAAAATTCACCTGGTGAAGAAGGAAATACAATGTCAATGTGTTGTTGTTAATAAATGTGTGATGCTTTTCCATGTAGGTAAAATATATACTTGTATGCAGCTCCAATGCAGCTTTGCCAAGGCTCAAATATGTAACGGTAATGACATGTACATGTACATGTAAGACTTAGTCACCTTCCATCTCGGATAGGACGTTAAATGGAGGTTCCGTGTTTGGGGAGAGCCACACCCCACACACGTTAAAGATCCCACCACACCTTTCAAAAAAGAGTAGGGGCATGCCCCGGTGTGCGAAGATACAAACACTACTGTATGAAGTTGGTGATTCACTTCAAATCACCCGAATGGAGGCCTGGCGAACCTCTGTTCCGTATCAGCCACATGGTGATTACATCACCACACATGGTGATTACATCATCACCCGGACGGAGGCGTGGCGAACCCCGTCTTGTATAAAGCTAACGAAAGGGTATGCCACCTCGTAAGGGGCGGTATAACCCCGACCAATACGGTCGACCGATGATGATGATGATGATGATGATTTGTAGTGAATCACCAAATTCCAGATACATGTATTTTGACCATCCCTAGTCCAAATTACATAGTACTGTAATTCCAGGATTGTTTCACGGTACTTTTACAAGTTTGTTCACTGTTTCAGGCTGTGAAAATTTGCTACTGTGAAGTGAATTACACTATAATAGCAAATCACACATAGACCATAATTATATTATAAAATCGATACTTGAATCCCTTGGGGTGAGGTAATCAGCAGCTACTATTACTGCTACAGACAGTAACTACTACTACCACTAGTCTACTACTGTAACTACATGTACTACTACCACTACTTCTACTGTAACTGCTACTACAGTAACTACAACTACTACTAACAGTAACTACTACAGTAACTACTACGGGTACTAACACTATACTACTAGGCTACTGACCGGCATGGGGATCTTGGAAAGCTCCTTGCCGATGCAGTTCTTCATGATGCTCCACAGGTTCAGGCTGATGTTGGGTTTCTCGGGGATTCTTGTTCTTCTTCTCCTGCGGGGCTCCTTGGGAACTTTGCTGGGGGTCTGGGGGGTCCTGGGGCCACCACTAGAAGAAGTCTGGGGGGATAATCAGCAATGATAGATACATTTCAACTGGTCTGGCAATTCCTACTCTTCATTATTGAATACAATTTCCCATCAAGTTACTAGAGTTGTTACTGCAAACAGGTTTGACTGTGAAAGAACATACAGTCCCTAAAATTCATTACCATAAATATCAACTGCTACAGAAAGTTTCTGAGAGCTTCCATAGAATTTTCATAGCTCACAATATCCAAACCTGTTTCTGACCAACATAAACCCTTCAACTCTCACAGTTAAGTGGCACCCAAAGACATTCAACAAGAAGATCAGATCAAATCAAATCAAATCAAATCAAATAAGATGAATGTAATCTCTACCACATCACGTGTCAGGGTACAGTAATAGTTGAGCCGGGCCTGGCCAAAGTCATAATACAGGCAAAACTGAGTCCTTGCCAGACCAGATTTTTGGAGCATAGGCCACCAGTGTACAAAATACTTTTTTGAACCAGGTTGCCCAGTGGGCAACCTACGGCAAAAATTAGGTTGCCCATCAGAATTTTAGGTTGCCCCATCTATAAGTTACTACTTTCCTCAAATTACGTAATGTTACATACATAAACCTTTGACAATATTTCTAACAGCCATTAGTTAACTGATAATAGTAATAGCCATTAATACCTAAAATAATTAAAAAGCATCTGCCGGATACAGCAGTGCAAGCCAAGTGGGCATGATTGGGGGGGGGGTTCTTAAAATTCAGGTAGCACACTGGGCTACCTAGGTTTGAAAATAGGTTGCCCCAAGTAAAATTAAGTTGCCTGGGGCAACCAGGTATTTTGCACACTGGCCACCCAGCATGTTTTGTCGGAGGTGTCACTGCATAGCACATCGTATCACTGGGACATTTAATCACCTTGGATAAAGTACAACAGTTACTGCAATGTACAAATAACTGGATGACATGGAACCTACACTATCTACAGAGTGTTGGGAGGCTGTCCGCTCTAATTTCTTCTTGGCCTTGACCCCAAATTCCTCCGGCTTGTCAGTCGCCTCCTCGTCAGAACTGCTGATGTACACAAAGTCTTTCCCTGCACCTTCACTTGCCTCGCTGGCCATGCTGGCTGCACTGACTCCACTCGGCGTCCGTCTGGAAGGGACAAACAGATCCATGTCAGTTCTCAGGGTTCTAGCTAGTGCAAAGTAGTGTAGGGGCCCCCTACGCTATAATTTTGACCCCCTACGCTAAATCCCCCCCCTATGGTATAATTTTGACCCCCTATGCTAAATTTCCCCCCTATGCTAATTTTTAATACAGCATAGGGGCATTGTGACTGTATTTCTTTGTTCAAGAATACCAGATTAAGTGTGAAAAATCAAGGATACATTGTACATACCTTAGAAATAACATTTTTTCCCTTTGGGTATCCCTCAAATGGCCTCTTTTTAAGCTCAAATTTTTAAAAGCTGAGCTTCGCTCCCTCATCATGAGGCCAAAGCCACTACGCAAAAATTAAATCCTAGCTAGAACCCTGGTTCTACTCCACTCAGACACAGAACTTTCCTGCCTGCTATTACCAGCATAACCCAAGAAAATGTGGATGACTTGTATGTGATGATAATTAATGTATAACTACAAGTCATGTCCAGTTACAACTGTGTATGAAAGTCTTTTTTTTGGTGCCTGTTTGTATGTTTGCTTGTGTGTCCATCAGGTTATTTAAATTCAGTACAGTGGCAGGGAGTGAGAGCAAGGATGGGATAATCACACACAAGAGTCATGAGTGACAGAAACAGAGTTGAGAGGTACAGCATTAGAATTAGTTGAATCAACAATCTTAATATGTCACTTATTTGACTAATTCAAGGGGGGGGGTTGGTCTGTCTGTCTTTGTCTCCACTTATGAAATATATATGCTAGTCCTAGTCATCGTAACTATGGTAACATATCAATAGACATACATCTACATAATGTCAGTTAAAACCTTATTTGCATAATAAATGAACAAAATTAAACATGTGAGAATATTGCACTGTGGTATGTTCTTTGAACTACAGTAACTGCACAATGCTTAAAAAAGTAACGGAGATGTGAGATTTTGAAATTTTCTTGCATAATTGATTACATCATTGTATTTGAAATGAACTGTATAATGTATTACCCTTGTTGACCACCTGTCTAAACAGACTAGATGTATCAGTCCCAATGCAAGTGGTCTTCTTGGGCAGGTTTGACTGTTAGTGCCCTGAATTACAACATTTTGATTGTCTCTAAGGCCACACCAAGTAAATTTTATGGATGACGTCCGCGCGCGCATTGATTTTGGCCTGTTCCTAGAAAAAAAACAAATTCCGCTTCCTGTAACTATGACCAAAGAGTCACGACAGTGCCGCTGATAGATTTGTACGGACCAATGCTTATGAAGCATCGAGCAAGGAAATCATGACTTCCTTTAGTAATTCAGTTTGGTACATGCTGCCACATTTGAAGAAACTTGCTGACCGCTCCATCTATCTATTCTCCCCAAAGCACAAGACGACAACTGCTGTTCCACCTGATTTATTGCTGTTTTGATGATGAATAAAAGACGTCTTGCTTGTTACACTGTGTCACCTCATTCAATTTGTGTCCTAACATTTGTATATTTCTAATCTAGGCATCTTGTTTTTTAGGGCCCTTCTTGTTTTTTTTTGCCCTCTCGCATTAGATTTAGGGTCTCCAAAGGACGCCATCCATAAAATTTACTTGGTGTGGCCTTATGGTGGCCAAGACTGCCATGTCATGAGGTACCCTCCCTCTCCCAGCTGAATGCAATTTCAGCACATCAAAACTGATATTGACATTTCTTACCATGTTTTCATCATCATTTTTTCATACATGTAGCGCTTGAAATAGGCCAAAAACAAACTACATGGGGCCTCCCTTTATTTTTTGGTACCACCCATAAATAGCTAGAACCACTGCACTGCCTATATAAGATAGACATCGCATTTTCTCTCACAGATATCAGTATGCTATGGGACAGGATTGACTCAAATTACTACATTAAAACATTGAGCAGAAAATTGACTTTAAAACTGCTTTAAGTTTAAGAACAGGATGTGACATGAAGGACTCACAAGCGTGCTCCTGTGAGGCCGAGCATTGAGGGGTTTGTCCCGGGGAATCTGGGGAACCACAACACGCAGATTTTAACACAGGCTCCACATTTTCTGTAGCTGTACCTCTACACTTATCAGCACATGTATGAGGCCACAATATACAAAGACTGTTCATGGACAGGACCTGGTATTTTGTGTAGTTCACAACTCAACAATTTTACCAACTAGACAATAATATACTGTAGGTGAAAATTCCTTAATTTTCCCTTTCTTCATATTGGGAAAAATAGGAGCAGCTATTCTCAGAAACAGCAAATATAATTGGCGTGGCCTTATACTTTGTACTGTCCCTCGAAGAAAAGGACCATTCATTATCATACATGCAAACCACCTAGTGGTTGTTTACTACAACATAGGAACTGTACTGGTAGTAGAACAGTGGTAGCTTTTACGATCAGATTTAATATTAGATTTAGGTAAAGGAAGACAGAATGCCAATGAAGGTTAGACATCCAGGTAATGAGATACACACGAAAAGTTTCTGAAACTGAGGCCACACCAATTTAATTTGTTGGTTCTCAGATTCGCCTCTTCGTTTTTTTCTGATTTGCAAAAAAAAAAAAATTGATTCTGGTCCTGAATCAACTGAAAAATGCTCATGTTTTGCCCCCCAACAGTTGAGGAAAGTCCTTTTCTTCCTAGTTGTTACAGTTTTCCCATCTATCATTGCAGTGGTTTGATTAAAAGTTCAAAATTCAATTTAATGTTTAAATTTTATCCCAGCCTTTTGTGTTGACTTCATCGCTCATTTTGTAGCATTTAAGCCTATAATAGGATGCCTAGACCTGTTTTTATTTTTATTTTTTTTCGCCCTGTCGCTTCATATTTTTTCTGAAAAAATCCGAGAACCAACAAATTAAATTGGTGTGGCCTGAATAGATTTTGAAAGATGTCAGATGTTTCAAGTAGTATCCACTACTTTTCATCAGAACTTAAAACTGTCTTTAGCTAGATTTTGCATCTTGGAAATCAAACGTTCCAAAAAGGCTGTGACAGGCTGTCTAACTAAGCAGTGAAATATCATGCACAGTTCACCTATTCTACATTCTACCATGGAGTTATTCCATGCAGAAATGATCCATTCTTCCCACCTACCTGCGCATGAGAACCCTATCCACACATGTGTGCAGAGAGCCAAAAGGGAAACAAACATTGTGGCTGGGTAACATGCAGCAAATATGAACCTGAGCAAGAAGTTTGAGCTTAAAGTATGTACAGTGCTGGGCAGGCTTGTTGAGTGAGGTATTGGACAAGTACAGTAAAATCTGGGCAACCAGTGCAATGTACTTGCAAACACAGTACAAGTCATAGTTTAATTTTGTACATGCATGTAATAAAAATCTCATTTTCAGATTTGCTGCAGTAACCATAGTGAAGAAGAAACAGTGGTAAGCAGACAGGAGGTGCAATAAGCAGTAGAACTAGAAGAGGCCTTCAGCAGTGAACCTAGCCTGAGTAAAGCTTCATATTTGTGCAGGTCTAACCTGGCGAGAATTTGTCACCAAGAAAAGGTTTTGTATCTTGACCTAACCATTTTGTACATGCAGCTACATGTATAGTGAACAGAGCCTTGGCCCTGGAAAGGCCAGTTTGGAGACATGTACCAAAACTTACCAGTTCTGAGTTTCAGATGAATTTTAGGCTGGGTAGGCATATCTTTGAGTACGTCTGTGAGAAAGTGTGACCAAGACTGACTTGGTCTGACTGGCAGGGGTGCCATAGGTACCAGTTCCACGCGTTCATGATGACACTTCCCCGAAACTGTTTTATCACGGTCAAACTGTTTCAGACCACCTCTGGACGTAGTTCAGAACAAAACGGATCAAAAATGGTTGGGGGCATCCTACCAAAATGAATGAAACCATTTTGATTTTTGCATCATGATTTTTGCACCATTTTGCAGTCTAAGACACAAGTCAGTCCAACATGACCGAAGTGGAACGTACCTGTGTGTAAGGTGGGAGTCTGGAATTGTGATTGTCCTAAACTCGCTGTCTGGAGTCTCGTCAATCGCGTCGAAGAACTCGCCATCCTCGTCATCGCTCCCGGCCGTGGACTCAGGCTTCCCATCTGCAGCGGCTGGGAACAGAGATGGCAGGCTTCACTCCCTTACCCATATAGCTTTGCAATTCTCACTGTCAGACAATATAGTATCAGCACTGCAGATGTATGACAATGCTACATTGTGAAGACTGTTGCCTTTTCTCAGTTTGTTGTCAGTTATAATAATAATGGTTTTATTGTCCAAACAGTACCCATGCAGTCGCAGCCTTTAACGGCGGAATTGATGCAGGGTATCACATAATAATCAATACAAATCACAACAAATAAGTAATACACATGATATTAACACAATATATTTTCTCCACAAAATTTTGTGGAACTGTCGCAAGGGTCTGTGCGGCTGCCATTCGGCGCCACAAGGTGACCTCAATACGACTTTCCCCAACCGAAGTTAGCTACCCATTCACACCTGGGTGGAGTGAGGAAAGTCGTGTAAAGTGCCTTTCCCAAGGGCACAACGTAGGGCGCATGTCCAGGGTACGACTCGGGTTCGAACCCAGGTCTCTCGGTTCACAGTCGAATGATCTACCACTACACCACCCGACGCCACTTTAGAGAGTCAAACCCACCTTTATCATTGGGAGCAGTCTTGAGACTGCCCTGAGAGGCCTGTGCTCGGACCTGCTGCTCCAGACTGTTGTGTTGACGGGCCAGTGTTTCCACAGTTTCCTCTAGCCGTAACCTCTGCTCACGCTCGTACTGTAAAGTTTTCTGCCACTTGCGGCCCTGTGTCTGGGCCAGGTCTAGGTAATCAGCACAGGCCTGCAGGGAACACATTCAAAACTGTGCAGTTACTGTTTAGGGGACCTAGAACCATGTACTGATGCTAACTGTCTATCACAATTATCAGTCAAACCAATAACAACATGGTAATTAACAGTTTGACTAATGAGACTACTGAGAGTGGCTGCATGTCAGCTTTGTGTTTTGAATGAAGTAGGCGGGACTATACATGTATATGATCAGTCCATTCCGCATAACAAAGGAGACATATACTGATATATATGCTTTAATCACAATATGAAGTATTGTTTGACCAGCCCAGGATATGTTAAAATGCTTTGTGTGAAAGTAAACAATGCTGTCCTAAAAAATATCAAGTGTTTAATCCAAAGAAACAATGATTTACACCACAAGTGCACTTTTGAATGGTATAGAACGTCAAATCACAAAGAATCATACTTGAACCAGCTCAGGCCAGGTCTTGATTCCTGTTGCCAGGTAATTCAATTAAATGAACAGGGATTAAGTGAGAAGTGCTTTGACTTTTAATCTCATTTTGTGTGTGTACAGATAGGAGGTTATTGGAGATCTGTAGTGTATGGTGATGACCAGTGTTGGTAGCAGGTATTGGGAAACAGACAAAATAACTAATAAACTGGTGGACGTCCCTACTACTAAGTACCTAATACCAGCCCAGAAGAGAACAAGAAATAGCCATGCCTTCAAGTACCAGAGTTATCAACCAAGGATTGAAGTGTTCAAGAATTCATTCTTTCCTAGAACCATCACAGAGTGGAACTCACTGTCACCAAGTACAGTAGGGGCATTGTCAATAGATAGCTTTAAACAATGTCTAGAGCTAGAAGTTCAAGGGTTAGGAGTAACAAGTCGATCGGTGTAATATAGCCAGCTGCCGCTGTGCCGCGTGCCTGCGAAGCTGGTGTGTTACGCCGAAAGGCGGTTATACTGGCTATACAGATACAGACATGGACTCACATTGATCATAGCATTGGAGGTTATCCTGAAGAGGGTTGCTCTCTCGTTGACTGCTTTAACTTTACTCTGGACGTCCGTGCTGTTTTCTTTATCCAGCATCTCCAGCTCGCTCAGCGACCGCTGCAATGCTGCGCCGTGTTTCGCTGCAGAGAAAACAAACGTACAGAAATTACATGTTGCATCTGCAGTGGGTGTCCAGAGGACAATCAAGTCAGCATGGTCTCATCAGTGTTGACAAAATACAAGTTGTCATAAATTCAAAAATTTAAATAGCTAAGTCTTAATATAATAAGGTTGTTCCTCCAAAGATACTTCAAAATTTCTTGAAAGGCGTCCAATGCAATTTCAGGGTGGCAAAGTCAATTTTCTGTTTATTCTTTTTTACATAGTTAAGTTGAATCAACCCTATCCCATAGCATACTGATATCTGTGAGGCAAAAATGTGATGTTCCTGAAAACTGTCGCTTTGCAGTGTTCAAAATATTTTTTTGAGCCAGGTAGCACAGCCTGCAGTGTGCTACCTTGTCGCAAAACTAGGTAGTGCATCAAAATTTTAAGTTGCCCCCCTGATTTTGTGGATTTAGAAGATCTTACAAACAACCTGCATCATGCAAAAGCAGTAGCAATCCGAGAAAATTTTGAAATAATGCAACAGCCTCAAGTGTTGCATTGATTTTTTTGTATATACCCCAACTGGGTACCTCTTCACAGCTTCAAACTAGTACATCTGGCGATGAATGCATCCCCCACCCCCCGCATTTGACAAATTCTATGCACTTTACTTATTTACAATTAGTATCTTCCTTAATACTATGGAGCTGCACTGAATGCCTTTAACTGTAACTGTAACGGTTTCCTACCTATCAAGTCGTTGCAGGTGTTGAGGTCCTCCAGCTTGGCAGACAGGATACGCAGCGTGTTCTGGATCTCGTTTTTGTCGGGAGAGGTGTGCGACTGTCCGTCCTCATCATCGTCTGGGGGGACACAGCAGAAATAGGTCAGACTTCACACATCAGTCAGGACAGTTCTCTGTAGTGTTGCATACCTAAACTCAATTTTAGGTTCAGGTCCGGATTCAAGTCCAGAGGTTTAGGTTCAGTTCCAGACTCGTAAGTCCGGACCTAAACCCATGGCATATACAAAACTGCATGTTGGCAACCTTGCAATGTTGTCTGGGTGAAACTTTGGCCACACAACATGGAGGCCAGTACTTGACGATGCCCGATGGCAATGTTTTCTTCGTTTTGCAGCAAAGATTTTGCAATCTACGGAAGGTTTTGGGTGGTTTGGAAAGAAAAGGGGTATATGAAATGGCCTTTAATGGTAATAAGTCCGGACTCGGTTCTTGAGTTTTAGTTGGTTTTTTTGGACTTGAACCTAAACATTCTTACAAGTCCGGATCCAAGTCCAGTGAACCGGTATGCATCGCTAGTTCTCTTTGTAGTGGCAGGAATTATTTTGCACAAAATAATATAAGGCCGCAACAATTTAAT